CGGATATGACAACAGGAACACAAAGGACAAAAACTGCCAGTGCTCAATAAAAATGTCTGCGTTGCAGGGAGGGGTGGGGGGATGATGAGATGGTCTTTTTTTTCTTCTAATATTACATTTCTAAGGGAAACTTGAGAAGGTGACAGAGAGCTGACATTTGGTATGACTCACTCTCAATTTCCTGATGTTCAGATTGATTTTTCTGATCTTTTCATGTCAATGTCAGGAGAAAACATGCTTTACTCATTAATGAAATATCCTGCGGCTCTTGACAAAAAGGTCAAAACAGTTCAATGCCAATGTATTTCAGAAATCACTTAAACAACAACAGAAACACTATTTCAGGAGACAGTCCAACAGGTTACACATTGGCAGGTTATGCAAGGATACTCCCTCTCAAACACATTTAGAATCAATCTGTGCTGCTACCAGAAATTATGAGGTGTCAAATGTATCCTATGGATTAGGAAATGACCTGAGCAGACCTCGGGTCACCCGCACATAAAATTCATTGTAAGACGTGATAAGACCATGCGCATCTTGATATAGTGATAAGATGATAGGGATAAATGGTGAGAATGATATTGAGATATGACGTGAGACAGACTCAAGTAGATTCAGAAGTAGGCATTTGATTGTGTTTGTATATTTACATGTGAATGCTGATTATCGTTTATGGAAGTGTTTATGCTATATTTACTATGTGTATCCATTTAGTTGGTGGGTTTATTCCAATTCTGTATTATATTATAGTTAATCATCTCTATTATATGCTCTGTTTCAGACCACACACACATGCCAATCTAATCGTTTTTACTCATGTGCTCAAACTATTGAAGCTAAGGTGGAAACTAATGGAAAAATCAAAAGTTAAAGTTGTACAGCAGGTTTGTACATGCAATTTCAATGAGACAACCTTGAGATGACCTCAATTAAACAAATAATGGTTAATTTCAAGTCTAGGCCACAATGTATTGAACAAAATAAGACCTGATTCAATAAGGCAGCTTTCTCGTAAGTAAATCCCATACAACGGCATAACTCTCTGCTTAATCAGCATAGTACGATGCATCATTGGAGAAATGTCACTCCGGGACGTCCGACACTACTAGAGCACATGCGCACTCTTCAAAAACAGCGCTCTTGAGAAACTAAAAGTTGTAGAATGGAATTTGTATATATTTGGAATGAAAGATACAGAACGTACTGCATGTTGCTTGATTATTTTGGTCAAGAGCAGGATCTATACAAGTCCACATCATACTAACAAGAAACTATGCCTCTAACCTGTGATGCTGTTTGCCAATGTTCATTGGAACTATGGTTTTAGGAAACACCAAATCTTTGAACTATGCTGGTAACAATGGAACTTGTGGCCATAGTTGGCTAACGATGCTTTGGGGAAACACACTCCAACACTGTTTCATTCATCAGTAAGACCAAGTTCTCCTGCTATACCCATGAAGGTTGATATAAAATAATAAGACTGTATCAAACAAGCACCATCTTGATACAAATTAAGCTGCAGAAGGCAACGCAAAATTACTGAACAATGCTTTTGTGATTTACAAGCATGCTGGCCAAAGATTACAGAAATTGGAAACTACTGTAGTTCCTCAAATGTTAATGTTTGAAGAACATTAGAACAGTAGTGAATGGCATGCTTCCCTTGAGAGCAGTGAGCATGACCACAAATTCTCACTATGACAATGGAACACTTCCCTTTTCCTGCATGTCTTTGTGTTTACACAAAAAAGAGTTGTGCGTGTCTGCCTCATAAAAAAGTATGTTAATGAGCATTTACATTCTTTGGCGATCACAGAGTTAACTTAAATCTAAATCTACAAACAGAAGAAAAATGCAGTTTTTAATGGGGAACAATAAAAGTGCTTAAGTTCATGCTTAAGTTCATTTTGAAAATGACTCATGGACCAGTTAGTGAGTCTCACTGATTCATTTAAATAACTTGTGAGTTTAGGATTCAAGACTGATTCATTAGGCAATCGGACATCACGGATTACAATGTTCATTCTTATATTGCAGCGAGCACAACGCAAAAAGCTGCCCTTTCTCTGAACTTTGACTGGAGCCGTCGATTGCACCGTAGGAGGGGATTTTCCTTCAACTAATCCACTTCATCCTTCAATTATAATGTGGGCTTATATATCTCTTTATCTTTATCAGGCACAGCATCAAAAAATACAAGAATCAGGATCCTCAAAGTCAACCAAAACATGCAGCATATTCCCTAAGATTTTCGACGTCTGTTGGCAAACCCTTGATCAGCTGCTTCAGGACGTAGCCTCGTCCAAGAACAACTGGCAAACAGGAGAATGTAAATGAAAAGGTCAGGTCAGTCCACAGCCACAGTGAAGGTAAACTTCACTCACAAATTTTGCACAGCACATGATTTGATGACAAATTAGCAGTGGCACCTTAGCAAGCATTAAAGAACAATAACACAGGATGTGGCGTTTTCCTCCACTACGCTGGAAAACAAGAGCAATTAGTTTGGCCTCAAGCTGTGCAGGTGCAGACTACAGTATTCAGAAACAAAACAAAAGCTTTATGACTTGTAGGAACTAGCCAAAAGTATGAGCAATTGTTTCATGTTACTGATTGAAACAATGTTTTCCTGTAAGGGTTTTGTCCATACAACATAAAATCTCTCTGAAGGTTAATTGTTTTGATTTATCTGCTAGCCCTATGACACCAAATGACCGGCACCAACTAAAAATAGTCACTTCTAACTTAACTGCACTACCATTCAAAACTTTGGGGTCAGTACGTTTTTTTTTTTTTTTTGGAAAGAAATGTATACTTTTATTAATCAAGGATTCAACTAATCAATAGGGACAGAAAAGACATTTAAATGTTACAAAAGATTTTCATTTCATTAAGCAGCACAACTGTTTTCAACAAAATCAGCATATCAGAATGATTTCTGAAGGATTATGTGACACTAAAGACTGGAGTAATGGATGCTGAAAATTCAGTTTTATTATCACAAGAATAAATTACATTTCAAAAAAATATATTAAAATAGAAAAACATTTTCGGGATGTCCCTATTTTAAATTAGCAAGCTACTTTTTTCAAGTGAATAGGCATGGGCCAGTATGGTCGACTATCCCATTACACATTTAATAACCAACTAGTTAAGTCAACTAGTGAATGTTTTCAGAATTGGTTTTTAAATATTTAAAAAAAGACAAGATTTATTGAAAAAATGGTTTAGCATGCTCAAAGTGTGTTGTACTTCAGCATGCTAACAGTTAGCAGAGTATTTGTTCTCAGTGAAAACCTCAGCACTACAGGCTTTTAGTTTCTTCAACACAATCTCTGTTGGACTTCAAATGGCCTGCTGTGAGCAATGCCCATGTTATTGTGCGTAATCCACAGGTTTATTGTGAGGTCTTGTGAAAAGATTAAAGGATAGGAATTTTCTGGTGTCTGCTTTTAATAAACAGATGGTGGCTTACTTTAATAAGCTTTGAACAAAAGGTTCAAACTGTTGGACAATGTGAACTATATGTTTTACATCCATTACATTTCTATTCAAAGGGTTTGAACTTTTGAATGAGGAATGAGAATCCATGAGACTAAGTTATTAGGTTACAATGAAGGATCACATTAGACTTCTCGCATGGTCGTTTAGTTTTTTGAGGACAGTCTGTTCTAGGTAGATTAACAGCAGTGCCATACTTTCCCATTTCGTAATTATTGATTTAACTGTACTTCACGGCATATTCAACGATTTGGAAATGTTCTTATATCCATCTTCTGCTTTGGGCTTTTTAATTACTTCTCAGAGTTGATTCAATTGTTCTTTTTCTTCAGGTCCAAGTTCTGACACAATACTGCCTCAATGCAGGAAGATGAGTGATGAGGTATTTTGCCCCCCAAAAAAAAAAATCAAATATTGTGTTTATCACGGATAAATTGTGTGTGTGTGTGTGTGTTGTGTGTTGTGTGTGTGTGTGTGTGTGTGTGTGTGTGTGTGTGTGTATATATATAAGAAAAGGTATGCTAATAGTTAAATGACTGGCTGTCAGAGTAGCTTGCTAATAAACTATAATTACGTGTCATCATAAAAACGCAATTACAATGCTGATTGGCCTGTTGAGTCACAGAATGCAGTCAATAAGGCAATCTTTTCTTTCTCAATGTTTTACTGAGATTAAGAAATGGATGTCTGAACATGTTCTGTCTAAACAGTGATTAGACTGAAGTGATGCTTATTGGTTCACCTCATCAGTTGTGTAAAGCAGAGTCCATAACCTTAAGTGTGGATGGTTCTGCTTTGAAATTCCAAACTAAACAAAATTAATTTCATTATTTTTATGTAAAGTGTTTTGAGATGCTACTTTTAAAAGGCACTATATAAAATAAAGTTTATTATTATTATTAATAGCAATATTAGCGAATTGTTTTCATGTAGAGACAGGAGAACTTAAGAGTTTCCAGAGCTTCAGACACAGACGAAAAAGTCCCGCCCTCAGCTGCGCAGCGCGTCGTTATTGGCCAATGGCTGCAGCCCAGAAACATCCTGACCCGAGCACAGCAATTCAAGAAGAATATAACAAAATACAGGCACAGGGCAGTGTCTCTGTAGACAGAAACACTACCACACACTTCTAGTGGATCATAAGTAATGATTGGGAGGGTTTATTTTTGCTTGAGTCTATAGAACATAACACGAACATGCAGATGGTTGAATACATTTTGGTGGCACTCTACATGGTCAGATGAAATTTCAGGGAAAGTGGCCAATGGATACTGGCCTTGCTGACCTGCTGGCTAAAATGGTGTGAGAGGATTTGTTGGTTTAATTAAGCACTGCGATTATATCGCTGGGTGGGAATTTAATCCCTCGGAAGACGCAGTGAGAGTCTACATAGTTGTTTTTTAAAGACACACATTTAGATCAAATAAACCAATTCAACTGCAGCCAATTCTTGAAAATGTGAGTTTGAGCAGTGAAATCGCATTCATACTTACCAGGCTACCCAATTTAGAAGATGAGGAACTGGTTCTCTGCTTGTATAAAGTGTGGCCCTCCATGCAGTGAGGATCCCTGAGATTGAGGTGAAGTCTGGGTTCTCCTGCGCCCTCAGAGGCCGACCGTAGACGTCTCTCCATGCGCATCACCTCATGGTATGGGCTCACGCTGCTGCACATGGACACTGTGAAGGATACGACACACAGATTAGAGACGGAAATCATTATACATCAAAACAAAGAGCTAAATGGCCAACAGTACTGGGTTATGAAGCAGTTCTGGAATGTGTACAATAACAATGACAATACATCATCATTTACTACAAATCTCATTAGTAGGCACCAGGGGAGTAACGATTCACTCGTTTTGACGATGCATCGATTACTGTTACGATCTTTAAAAGGTCTAGGAGAGGGAACGCAACATTCAGATATCACTACTGCTGGTAGATTGGGTACAGCAGAAATAACCATGAATAGAATACACAAAGTGTTTGAAAGGTGATTATTTATTACCAAAAAGCCGAAGCCACTAGATACAGTGAATGAGCTAGGTACAATGTAAATGAAAACCCACAGAAGAAAAAAAAGAACATACAGATAATTATAGGGAAAAAAAGAACTTAAGTGGCGCCAAATGAAAGAACCAAATATAACAAAATAATTCCCTTAAACTAATCCCCCACAACCTCGTCTAACCTAATAAAATAAAATGTGAAAAATAAACCGAAATCTTCAGCGTGTTCGACGCCCTAAACTACCTTCTCTAAGAAAACAAAAATACAAAGGGTGGCGCACACTTCTTACCTAGTGTGTCTAACACCTGACATTACTACGGGCACAATGTATATCGCGCGATCTACTGACCTGTTCTCTTTTCTCATATAGATCACCTGAAGCCCATTAACCCTCTGGGGACCAAGGTGTTTTTGGGGTCCTTGAGATGTTTTGACATTTGTCCTTTTTTCAGTTGCTTATAAACATATTAATGGCACAGGTGAAATTACACTCTATTTAGTACAAACAGGGCTACCATAATATGTGAGCAACATGTATGTACATGTTTGTATTTTTGAGAGAATATTGTTTATGCATGGTTATTGAAAAAACTAAAAATTAAAGTTTCTGAAATAAAGCCACAAAACACATACTAAATGTGTCCACAAGACTTTTGACTAGGGCTGCACGATTTGGGGAAAATGTCATATTGCGATTATTGAGGTCAATATTGCGATTGCGATATAATAACAAATGGTTTCATGAGTCAACTTGCTTGATTCTAAAGCAAAATGCACACAGATGTGTGATAATTCTGAAATGTGCATTTCTCAACTCAAACTAGCAACAACAACTAAATGATTGATAACATCTATAATGATCAATAAGCCAGTCTGGGTAGAAATTAATCCACCCCCATTTAAAACATTAATTATAGCCATCCAACATTACAGTGATTCCACAATTGAAAGCTATAATTTTTTTAAAAACATTTATTAGGCTTCAAAAAATATAACAGCTTTTAATTTAAGTGAACTTAATAATACTCACATAAACCCATAAAAAGTCTTATTTACCTGTGCCCTTCCTGTCAGGTAGGACATATACAGAAATTGAATAAAGTTATCAAACAGTCTGCACTGCATAGCTAAATTATAAATTATATATAGACTAATCCTTATTAAAGCTACACAAGTTCTTTAGTCAAGAGCAGTGAGTAATTTTCTCTGTTCCCTTTGTTCTTTGATTAACTTTACTGACAGAAAGCTTTGGCTGCTGGTCCTTTAAGAGCAGCCATTGTAGAGACGCGGATCTCACACGCGCCTCATTCTCTCACAACTCTTTACGTCCATCATAAGACTGCTCTTATGTTATGAAGATACTCGACAAACGACATTTTGGCATAATTGTGTGTGTTATTGTTCGTTCAAGCGAGAAAGATAACTATTCCGGTCTGTGCATGCGCATGGGCGCACGTCTTTCTGTGAGTCACAGTCGGACATTCACAGGCAGCGAGCTCTCTGTTTGACTTGTCGCGCATGAATGGTTTGGACTTTAAAGCATTCGCACGAATAAGAACGGGATCATGTAACACTAGCCAAAGGATGACAAAAAATAACAGATGCTGCGTTAATTGGGTTAACAGCCCTAATTTGTTTACTTTACATAAAATCGCAGCATTTTGCGTCATATAATCGAATAGGCTTGACATCGCGATTACGATTGCGATATGATTAATCGTGCAGCACTACTTTTGACTAATGGAAGTTGTGGCCTAGAGTTTTTGCTTCAAAATGATCTGAAAATCATCCTGTCTAATCATTCACATAACACAATAGATTCTTTTAAATTGTGAAAAACATTTTTTGTTAACCAAGGCAATAAGCGAATGGGCGTGAACGGCCCAACCCCATTGTGAATAATTAGGTGATTGAGAAGACAAAGACCCGCATATTAATGAGCCGTTCATTCAGGTGTGTCACAAGAAAGAATGCAAGGACAATATACACACACACACACACACACATATATATAAAATCAAAATATAAATTAAAGTCAAAAGCACATTTTTAGTCATACCTGGAAACAAATCCTGTTCAAATAGATTATATGGGCCATTCTACAGAATTGGTTCAAAGTTAGAGTTGGAAACATCTTGAAAAGAAAATTGTCTTTTTCCATAAATGTCTTAGTAGGCCAATACATTTTATCATACATATTTCAAAGTTAACGATTCATTATTTTTATATAGCTTGCATTGGAACAAACACTATTCTTAGTTGATTAGTTTATTGACAAAACATACTATATATTTAAAATATGAGCAGAAACTGCTAACAAAAGCTTATTTGATGTCTATTTTAGAGTTAAAACTTTATAATCTATCCAAAACTAATCACACACACACACACGATTCAAATTTAAACAGTAGGCTATTTTTGCGTTTACAGACACTAACGTTATTATATATCGCTCCTCGAAGTGAAAATAAACCAGCACTTGTTCTGAGGTAGGTAAATGTCCCAGGATTATTTGAGGCGTTTACACGTCTCAATGTGTTGCTTCAGATCATTAACGTTTGAATAGCGCGCGCTCTCCGTGGGCGTGTCACATTAGCGGAATAATGAGATGCGAGAACGATAATGAGAACGGCTGACACCTCTCTCTTTTTATATAGATTACATAAACAGAGAATATTTATTTTAGTTTTAAATTAGATCATTTAAAAGTACAAACTTAAATGATCATAAACATATATTGCTCATGTCTGGGTGAATAGTATTCGCTGTTTAAGTTTAGAGATGTGCTCCAGAAAAAAAGTTCACGGAGAAGCAGAACGCACACCCTGTTTATTTTCTTTATTTTACAAAAGCACAATATTTTATTTCGATTGTAGGTGGGCACATAAAAAAGTAGACATTTAACAGTTTATTTTTGAATATGTCTTAACTCTGTATGACCAGAAATGGAGTAGTTTAAGTCTTTTTCTGCTATGTGAAAAAAATCTGCCAAAACACACCGGTGCGTTTGCCGTCCCCAGAGGGTTAAACTCAGAACATTGGCGTAAAACCCAAAATAACATTAAGGAACTAAATGTTTGACATACACAACTGCAATTGGATTTAACTGGTACAAAGTACGCCACTCAGGACACTGAACAAACACACACACACTGCTGCGAATGAGACGCGCGGGAAGCCTTTTAAAACAGCGGGGCGACAGCAGATTGGACGCCGAAGAACCGCCCTGATGATGATGGATAGCTGACACGGCCTATCACAGGAACCTGAGAGCAAATAGAAAGCGAGCGTACAAGAGAGGGAGGGAAAAACAAAAGCACAACAACAAACGCATATAGAACGTAACAATTACGAAACCTGACGATGCATATGCATCGATCTTGAAACAAGTTCGTATATTTCAGTCAATAATCGTTTTAAAATGCAAAGAATCTAATGAATCGCAATTCGATAACAAAACATTAAACTACTACATGCGTGAATGTTGCATAGTCTGACAAAGCAGCTCCACCACAGCTTCCTGTCAGACCCGCACAAGGAATTTGGAAAGTAAGACGTGGGTTTAGTGAGCACCACAACCCCGCAGACTAGACAGGTGACCGGAGTCTCATCTCCCACTCCAAAACTTAAAATAAACCTCAGGTCAGGGGATACAATTAGTATTAGTAGGGGGGCAGGCAGCCTCCTCCCTAGATGGGTCTCCATTCAGTAAGCAGGAAGACAAGCTGTCTTGTACACAAAACGAAATAGTCAATGTTTACTTGATATGGAACACACAGAGCATGAGTTGAATTGGCAACAGTCAATTTATCACTTGAGCTGGGAGAAGAGAACTTGTGGAGTGAACTTCCAGACGGCTTAAATACGCTCCGTGGGAACACCACCATCACTCCACCTCCGACAACCGTAACTCACTGCACCTGTGCACTCTAACAGGCGAAGAGACAGATGGAAGAAGAAAACAAAACAAAAACATGTGCACAACACAGCACTAAACAACATCACATACTTAAATGAAAATGTTACGTAACAGTGAATTAATGGAGACGTTGTGCACGCCCTCAAAGATATGTGTTGAACTCTTACAAAACAACAGAAGCAGAGAGTGCTACACAGGTGTCTTTATGTAGCCACTGGTGCTCATTGGATAAACTGGAGGTGGACATCAAATTATTAAGATGAAATAGTTCAAGGCACTTATGTGAACTAAAAAGCCTTTGATTAACTGGGCTAAATCATTAAAAACAGTTAAAACTGTAGATATACACGTTTCAAATACACAGCCTTCTTCAGGATAACAAAACTATTGCTCATTAGCTATTACTTCATGTTAGTTAATACATTAACTAATGAGACCTTATTGTAAAGTGTAAATAAAAGTGTTAAAAATAAAATATTTAAAGGAGTCATAATGTAGTATTAACTTTGATACCCACGCTCTATTATAGTCATTTCATGCCCTTCTAAAAAAGAAAAATTGGAAAAAAATAAACACAGAGCTCGTTTGACCCTTATTTCTAAATGAATTATTGTCTCGCGAGATCTGATGCCAGGTTTTGGCTGTCGTGGACGGTCATTTTAATAATGCAAATGAGGGGCGCGTTGATTGGTGGCAGGAAGGAGGGGGCTTGACACCGCAGGTAACTTCAGCATATCATTCCAAAAAGAGATCATGGCGCAAGTTGTTAATGAACCCGACCTGGCCGCGACCCACGGGATTCAACCGTATATGTTTGAGCCAGACTCTGAACCAGAGCTGGAAACGGAAGAGGAACAACAGTCAATTGAAGGACGTCTACATCAACATGTCTCTGAATGGTAAAGACAATTTTTTTGACTGAGACATACATTAACATCAGTAACGAGCTAAAACGTTTTTTTGCTATTTTCTCCCACATAAGTTTAGCTTTAATTTAATGTAGATTACATTAACGGAGATGTAGTCTACTTTGTTTTCAGCTTACAGTGGTTATAGAGATTAACGTTTGCTATGTTTTGTTTTTGCCTTTTTTGACGTTGTGGTTTTTTAGATATTTAATAATTTTCATCTGCAGACATGTAACGTTATGTTTTTCTTTATGTTTATTAATTCTTGACTGTTAAATTTATCTATCCTGATCACATACATTAACCGCATTAGTAGTTAGCTGCTGTTTGTTACACAAAATATAGTAATAAAAACACAGTCTTACCGTTTCAAATTCAGGCAAGTCCCTGATTGTTGGAATGACACCTTTTCCCAAACGTAGCTTCGATACCAACTTCGCCTGATATTGCCCCAAATTTGTAAAATATTCTTTTGTGAAATGTTTAGCGCAGACACCTAACGTTGAGCAAGTTGAGATGGTTGTTGGAACAGCGTCATTAAAAATAAATTTCATCCACTTGTCCCTTGTAGTTTGGTCAGTTTTGGGTAAAGAAAAAAGATTAGAATGTGGATTATGACAGTCAACCACAGAGCAACTCACGTGTGCACTACGTTTCTGCATCTTTCTTGACTGAATATGATGGGGAGAGGGGCAGGGCGGGCCTCCTCTGCGGTGTCCATATATGGTATATCCGGCCCCGTCTTGATGTCAAGTCGGGGGAGAAAGTGAAATCTCGTATTTGAGTGCGCGTGCACGTTGGCTAGTTTAAGAACCCTGGGGTAAACAAACGCTTCACTTTTGAATATCGGCATCCCGGCCAATGTATAATCGTTAGTCAATCATAACATACATTGATTCTCATGGAAAAGTGAAAATTGCACATTATGACTCCTTTAAAAGATATTATACGGTAATATAAATAAATATTTAACATTAGTATCTACTAAGCGAATATCAGTAAAAAAAAAAATTATATATATATATATATATATATATATATATATATATATATATATGTAAGGGAATACATATTTCTATTTTTATTTAAATAATATAATTAATAATTTTATGTACACATAAATATTAGTATATCCTACCATTCAAAAGTTTGTAACACTTTTGCTGAGCTATTATTCGCAATAATGCATTAAATTGATCAAAACGTGACGCTAAAGGCATTTATAATGTTACCAAATTTTTCACCAAAATCAGCATATTAAAATGATTTCTGATGGATCATGTGACAGACAGACTGGAGTAATGGCTGCTGAAGACTATATATAAAATATATTAAAACAGAAAAATGAATTTTAAATTGTAATAATATTATTTCACAATATTAAAGTTTTTACTGTATTTTAAATCAAATAAATGCAACTTTATAGCAACAGCATTAGAGACTTCTTTCATAAACAAAAAAAATCTTAGCAACCAATTTTTAAAAAATACAGTCCATGTATGTATGTATGTATGTATGTATATGTATATAAGTATATATGTATATATATATATATATATATATATATATATATATATATATATATATATATATATATATATATATATACACACACACACTCACCTAAAGGATTATTAGGAACACCTGTTCAATTTCTAATTAATGCAATTATCTAATCAAACAATCACATGGCAGTTGCTTCAATGCATTTAGGGGTGTGGTCCTGGTCAAGACAATCTCCTGAACTCCAAACTGAATGTCAGAATGGGAAAGAAAGGTGATTTAAGCAATTTTGAGCGTGGCATGGTTGTTGGTGCCAGACGGGCCGGTCTGAGTATTTCACAATCTACTCAGTTACTGGGATTTTCACACACAACCATTTCTAGGGTTTACAAAGAATGGTGTGAAAAGGGAAAAACATCCAGTATGCGGCAGTCCTGTGGGCGAAAATGCCTTGTTGATGCTAGAGGTCAGAGGAGAATGGGCCGACTGATTCAAGCTGATAGAAGAGCAACTTTGACTGAAATAACCACTCGTTACAACCGAGGTATGCAGCAAAGCATTTGTGAAGCCACAACACGCACAACCTTGAGGCGGATGGGCTACAACAGCAGAAGACCCCACCGGGTACCACTCATCTCCAATACAAATAGGAAAAAGAGGCTACAATTCGGAAGAGCTCACCAAAATTGGACAGTTGAAGACTGGAAAAATGTTGCCTGGTCTGATGAGTCTTGATTTCTGTTGAGACATTCAGATGGTAGAGTCAGAATTTGGCGTAAACAGAATGAGAACATGGATCCATCATGCCTTGTTACCACTGTGCAGGCTGGTGGTGGTGGTGTAATGGTGTGGGGGATGTTTTCTTGGCACACTTTAGGCCCCTTAGTGCCAATTGGGCATCGTTTAAATGCCACGGCCTACCTGAGCATTGTTTCTCACCATGTCCATCCCTTTATGGCCACCATGTACCCATCCTCAGATGGCTACTTCCAGCAGGATAATGCACCATGTCACAAAGCTCGAATCATTTCAAATTGGTTTCTTGAACATGACAATGAGTTCACTGTACTAAAATGGCCCCCACAGTCACCAGATCTCAACCCAATAGAGCATCTTTGGGATGTGGTGGAACGGGAGCTTCGTGCCCTGGATGTGCATCCCACAAATCTCCATCAACTGCAAGATGCTATCCTATCAATATGGGCCAACATTTCTAAAGAATGCTTTCAGCACCTTGTTGAGTCAATGCCACGTAGAATTAAGGCAGTTCTGAAGGCGAAAGGGGGTCAAACACAGTATTAGTATGGTGTTCCTAAAAATCCTTTAGGTGAGTGTGTAATATATATACATATATATGCAAGTTATTATAAGTGTTACAGCAGAAAATACTTGTGAATGGCTTTAAATTGCACTTCTATGAAAACAATATTCAAGTCCAGTGGGGAAAAAAAATGAACACTACTGTTGCCAAGTTTCCTCCAAATGATTAAAATGTCTTCAGTATCTTGTTGTGTACAGAGACAGACCTCAATTTGTAGGTTGTAGCCTAGGTCACAATCTGAAGAATACGTAATGCATCTAGCAAAGATGTATATAAAAAAAAAAAATGTGTTAAGCCTGGGGCACAAACTACAATTCACCTACCTACTACACCAGATTTGCATAAAATTAATTTCTCTCTTAAACGAGATATCAAAAGCAAAACAACACGGATAGGTGAAACAGTTCAGCAAAACATCAATAGTTTTGTTTTAGTACAGTCCAGTACAGTATCAAACAATTAAAAGCCTGGATCCTATTGACAAATACACAAGGCAAAGAAAATACAGTGATGTTCAGTTAAAAAGCCCAAAACCTACAGAGTCACAAGAAAAGCTGCAGAAAAGACCCAATAATTCTGATTACTGTAAATAATATATTCACAAAGAAACAAAATGCAAAACACAAACTAAAATTTCTAGCAAATTAAACCAAGAACCAAAATAACCTGCTGTCAACATGGTAAACAGATTTAACTGCATCCAGACATCTTTCCGCCTATATAAAGATACGAGAGTATGAATAAAACATCTTAATATCCTTAAAAATAGCTTAATCATTGACATGAAAATTAATGAATCACCCCAAGCCAATAATTGTAAATGAACACAGAGTGTAGAGTTCACTCTCTCCTGCAAGAGGATCCGTAGTAAAGCCAATATCAAGTCACACTAGAGGAAATTCAATACTGTGGAGCTGGTTAGTTTCCCATAAACCATCTAAGCCACAAGTACTCTGGAGTGAAATCACTCGCAACGTAAAAGTATAATTTACGAAAAAGGGAAAACATGGGTCATAAGAAAAATGCAGCCAAACTGGGGGGGGGGGGCCTTTATCGCTCAATACATGAGGGCATAAATGTCATTTCTAAATCACAAGTATGATATTATAATAAATAGTGAGTTATTAATTGTATCTCTGATGTTTAATATTTCTCAGCAGTAACAGACTTCTCAATTAGCATATTACACAGCTCTTTGGAATACTTCATGCTGATTGGCCAATCGTGGCATTTTTTATATAGCCTCTATTTATATATATATATATATATATATATATATATATATATATAATGTATAAACACTGAAACAATGTATATTTGACAACAACTGAATTTCTACATATAGCTGTGCTAGATTCATTCATCTCATTTTTCTCTGTGGTCCCTTCTCTTATAATAAATACATTTCAAGTCACAACAATATTTCAGGCCCATTTTTTATTTATTTGGGAAGTAGCCGTGTATACGCAGGAAAATGTGAAGATAGCCGATCATGTCACTTTGCCCTACGATGTGCTACCAACAATCATGAAGACAATTAATTTGGTTGTTGTTTTTACAACCAATTTAACCACAGGGAAAAACTGTTTGGCTACCAGTAGTATCCTACCCTTCTGCTTTTCAGTCATTTTTTATTTTCCAAATTAAGCTGACAGCTCTTCAACACCCATGGCCTCATGAGATATTAAACTGTACATCAGATGAGCACTTCATAATCTTTGTAAAACCAGTAGAGGAATCTAGGAAGGAATCTTCCATCTAGGAAGCTCAGAGGACATAATAGCTAGATGTGAAATCTTCTAGATTAGTGGAACTGGTTTGAAGATCAAAGATTTAAGACTTGTTTTTGTCATGGAACAAGCATGTGAATAATTTCCCTCAAAACGTCTTTCTTAAAACAGGAAATAGCCTCAATAAAAACTCAAAACAGCAACTGAGTTCACTGACATTACCTGTGTGTGGCTTTCTTAGGTGGCTTGGCCTGGTCTCCAGTTTGCTCAGGCCCGATGACCTTCCTGCCTGCTGGATGAGAACAGCGTTCCTGGACCTCCTCTCACGAGTGTCTGGATTGGAACTACTTTCCTCACTCAATTCTGGAGCTTGTTCAATCTCACTGGCCTCTGACTGGTCAGGGTTATCGTTTGCATTAGGATTAGTGTTTGGGGTCAGCTCTTTCACTGTTTGCAGCGTTACTGGTTCCGTACGGGCAGTTGTGCTCTCGCACTGCGTGTTGGCTGTGTGGCTGGTATCTGGCAGTAAGGGCTTTTCTGTGGTGGCCTGGGCTGGGGTGATGGACACCTGCGAGGTAGAAACAGCTTGGCTAAAGTTTTCGGGTGGAGCAGCTGGACTGGGAGCCGGCAAAGCGTCCACTTCCGAGACAGAGTCTTCGGTGGCGTGAACAAAATCTGATGGCGTGATTGCTGTGGTGCGGTCTTCTGAGATCATGGGCGACTGTAGAGAACTCTCAGCCAATTCTCCAGGCCAGGAACCTGGGGTTCCAGTTTTAGGAGGATCTTCTGTGCTATCCTGACCTTTACCCTGGTCCAGAACATTGGAAGAGTTCTTGGAAAATCGTTGGTGAGCTGAAAAGGACTTAGGCAGCATCTTCTTATGCTTAGAAGACCTCTTGCTGCTCACCTCATCGAGGAACCCTGAATCATCTCCCTCGTTCGTCCGTGAGCTGATGCAGTTAATAAACACACTGCGGTTGGCCGACGTTTTCTCAAGGTTTTCCGTCTGAGATCGGGGGATCTTCTTCTTGTGTCCGCCGAATCCGAACGAATGCCGTGTCTTTGAGATGCAACTCTCTCGAAAGATGACTTCAGACCCCTGGCTGCTATTGTCCAGGCTGAGCTGGGTCGGGTCGCTGTGTCTCTTGCTGTGGAAGCTGAGTGACGGAGTGCGGAATAGGCTGCGCCGTTTGCCTGTGCTGCTGGAGCTGGAGTTCGTGCTGGAGGGAGAGGAAGTGTGGACGCCATTGCCGACACCACCAGAGGAGGGCGAGGACGGGAGCGAGTCCTGTCTCTTTCCCACACTACGTCTGAAGATGGGAAGCCTGGAGACCAGGGTGGAGCGCCGTGACCCTGATTCGCCCATGTAGATCGAGCACCAAATCAGACACTCTGCAGACAAGAAAAAAAGACAATCAGCATTAGCATGATGGCCTGAATAAACAAACACAATCAGGAATGGAAGTTACCACCAGCCAAATAATTTAGGTCATTTTGGATTCTTTACCAGGCAGGCAGCCACTAAGGCAGGCAACATGTCTCATTTGGCAAGAATTTTGTTTTTTAGCAACAGAAACTAGTACTTGATGAACTAACCAATTTGTTTATAGATTGATGAACAGGCTAAGGCAAAGTTGGCAAAGGGCATGATCTTTAGTACCGCTGGTTTCTCAGAGCAGAATTGTCTTAACAGTAAATAAGTGTATATCGGTCACCCTGCACTGTAAGATATCAGCTCAGCCATTTTTTAAAAACTAGTGTATATCAAATGACTACTATTATAAATGCAAACGCACCCCAGGTTCACTTGATTCTGACATTTGCACAATTCCAGATAATTTCAAATATTATTTAAAATGTCTAATATGTCTAAAACAAATAAAGAAAAGTGAGAAAACAATGTTTTGTTAATCATTGTTCTTGTATTATTCTTGTATTTTGGGGGAAAAGGGAAAGGTAAAATATTAGGCCTACAACTAGGCTAACCTAAAATGGGTTCCAAAAACAACAGCGGACACAGACCCATCATGAAAAATAGGTCAGCATCCATGTATAAGGTCAGCCACAGTGTCACTTTTTGTTCCTCAAATGTGGAAATAAATCTGAATTAAAATACTGTATCAGTTCATTGGTTAATTTTACAAATAAACGGCTAGTAAAACTCCCCAGCTATTATTTAGCATTGAATTTTCAACCTCAACCAAAATTATGATTCTAATGGAATTTCAACATTGAATCAATGTCACCGACCTTGCTATCTGGGTCTGCATTCACTGTATCTGGTAACGTTAGGCAAAAAAATCCCACCTTAGACACAAAGATTTAGATTCACAAGGGAAAAATCCAGAAGGGCTGCATTACTGTTTGCTGAGCACAATTAATTTCAGCACATTAAGCACACTGTGCTGACCTACTGCCAGTATTGTCTTATACTGAAAAATCACAGTAAAGTTAAAGTGAAGGTGTTCCCTCTGATAAATTAACAAAACATGTAGGCCTACACACACACCCTATAATACAGTAGTGACGGTTGGAGATACACCCTTGACAGCATTACTTAGCTTGATTGACCTGATGTGCTTTAATGGGTAATGACAAAGACTAGAGCACACTTAATAATGTTTAGATAACTTAATAATCATGACAATGCCAATGTAAGTTAATAAACAACAGGCCAATTCAGTGAACTGAATTATGTCATTAAAAAATAATAATAATGACACAAAACCTATAATAATCAAGGTTGTGTGAAGCCAGGTGCATAACGTTTTTGCCATTTAGAAGCGTTATACACTAGCAAAAATAAAATAAGTAGTTTAACTGAAATAAAATCTGAGAAACAATGCAAAGAAAGCAAGAATATCCATAAAGTGCGATGATCAGTGAATCAAAGCAAAAAGGGCCCATAACCTACAAGCTGATGCGAGCTGACTCTCTAAACAGCATTTTTCGGCGCGTTCATCATATTTGGGAATCTTAGCACTTCTACGGAGTCCAAAAATGCTTTCTATTAGGTAACTCGCTATGCTTTAGACTCAGCAATTGCGAACTACATACCTATTATTATTATAAATATCATCCTCAGTGATGGACACGGCGTCAGGAAACAGTGAATAACCAATAAAACAGCGACATTCAGCAGCCGCCTGCAGCAAGAGCTCTGACCGCAGTACAGCTCCGCACACAAACATTAAGTTACCTTGAATGCTCCGCTTACAACCCGCAGATATTCCGTTCGCTGTCAGTTTGAGCGTAAAGCCTAAATGCTCGTGGCATCACATCCGGCGAGTTTCACGTCAAAGCAAGCGCTAAATTCTCCTGTCAGAATCCTTGCTCGCTCGCGCTAAATCCACCTCAAGTGACGTGGAATGTTGCTTCCGCGTTTCCGCCTCTGCGCGTGACGCAAGATACCTGCGTGAGCGTCATTTAAAGACGGCACACAGGTGCAGTGGCCCTGCTGGGATATTATATACAATACAATACAACAAAAATAGTGTGTTATAAAAATGATACATCTGTGCTATCCTACAAAATGTTTTACAAAGGTTTATTTCTGACGACTTTGATGTAAATTGCTCCTTCTGTGGTAGCCTAATTGAAGATTTGTCTCATCTGTTTTGGGATTGTGAGTTTACTAAGAATCTATGGAAAAACAATTCCATTATTTTGTGGTAGCCTATAATTCCTGATATCTCGTTGAAATATGAAAATGTTATTCTTGGTTATATACACCTTGATAGAGACGAGTCTGATGGTTTTTATTTATTCAACCTTATTTTGATCTTGGCTAAATATTTTCTAAATGTAAATTAAATTTAGTAAGAATAAGCCTTTCTTCAGCCTTTTTCTTGACGATGTAAAACTCTGGGCTATATGTATCTGATTTCTGATTTTTCTAATAAGAAAACTGTGAATCTTTTAAAAAGGTATAGCCTACATAATTTTCTTGCACCCTGGCATAATATATTGTCATTCTGTATATTTTTGTTCAATAAAAGATAAGCCCTGGGATATGGAACGAATTACATAATTATCACCAGTTATGTAATTTTCATGTATTTACATGTATTTTCATGTATTTACAAGCTTTACACAATATTGTTGAATTTTGTGATGGCTAAATGTTATCGATTGATAGGCTAAGTGGCATCCTTTTCCTCTTTATATTTTCTTATTTTATTTTATTTTTATTATACCTAGGCTATACTATGGCACGTTTTTATTGTAGGCCTATCCTACTTTATTGATTGCATAAATTATGTCGCGTGAATTTTATTCTCTAATGAATCGGTAAAACTAGGAGTAGCCTATTGCCTACATAGGCTATATCTTTTTATTAGCCTATAATCAAAATGGTCCGCTAAATAGCCTAGGCTACTATAAGTCTACGGGCAAGATATAACATTCGTTGGCTGATCGAATCCGGAAATACAAAAGTGCATGAGTTAAATCACGCCTAGTTTTTCAACGTAGGCTAGCCTACAACAACAAATGATGTTTATCTTTCAAACCCAACATCACTGAGCTAAGATTCCCTTATAGCCGTAATTCTTTTGAATTCCACGCGGTGTCACTGTTGTCACAAAATTGAGCTTCTCAGGGAAGGCTATTTATTTAACCCTTAAACAGGCAAGAGTGGAAAATGCTAAGCAAAAAATAATTTCATTTCATTTTTTATATCATCTGGACTTAAATAAAACATATCCAAAATATTTTTTTACAATTTTTATATATTTTGGATTTTATGAATTGTGTCTCCTGAGATACGTTGTCTGATTAGGGTATAAAAAAAGGACCAAGTCATTAATCTGTTAACTGTTACTGCCACTGTAAGTTTAAAACAATTATATATCCCATACTTCACCTGATCTAATGTTGACAAATTATATATCATTCGAAAGCTTACGAACTCAAGATTCAGCCTGTGAAACCCGTTTTGAAATTGGACGTTGTGTTACCATAGAAACGGTACTCTAAATTATTTTAATGGACTCCTCCCCTTTTGGGCATCGTCATGTTTCATAATTTATGATCAAAACCTTTTCTAATCTTGACAAAACACATATTGTCAGAAAGGTCTGAGTCTCAAGGTTCCATATTTTGTGACAGAAGTGATATTTGGACAGAATTTTATTAATTTGTTATGGCAGAATGCATACAATTAAATTCAATGTAATGTAAGTTACCCGGTGGCTATTTTAAAATCTCACGGGAACTTCAATTTTTGTGATATCAACTTCAAATTTGGGACACAACTTGGTTAGATATATGGCTTTGATTTTATAGTAATTTCATAGTAAAAAATATTTTGTAAAATACATATTTTATAAAAAAAGAATAAATATTAAGTACAGTATATTTGATTTAATGTAAGATTTAAACTTCCTTAACTTTTTCATACTTTCATTTTATAAAGTGCTTTCACTTCAGCAATAATCTGCTGAGTGATTTCTTTATAAACAAGACCAAAATTAGGTCTATATTCCAAAGGATTCTTGAATTACAATCATTTAAGTTTGAATAGTGCATTTTAAATAGAGCTAGTTTAATCCCTTTTTATACCCTAAACAGGCAACGTGTCTCAGGAGACACATACATTTCAAAACGTGCTAAATAACAACATGAACAACATATTACTTAATTTTCTCCTTCAGCACCTTAAGACAATGTTCACAATTAATGTTAGCAGTATTCTTCTTCTTTTTTCAGAAGAAAAGTAAGTTTAATATATATTTACTTACCTCAAAATCTGAATGTTCTGCACCACTGGCAGCCATGTTGGATTTAGGTCAGGCTGACTAATTGATCACAAAAAATTTGAAGCAAATCATGTGACAAGCATACTCAAGACAGACCAGGCTGTCATAAGTGATAAAAGAATTTGATGAAAAAATTGTTCTTATGCCCCAGAAAAAGACAATAAAAACGATGTATCTCGTGAGACACGTTGCCTAGGGTTAAATATAGCCTAAGATAACTGAAGATCCAAAATGCCATCCAAATAAATAAATATGGTAGACATAAACATCTTGAAATGTAATGAAAAAATCTCTAAATAATGAATACATTTCTGAATTTATGATGGTTTCATCATCAGTCTGCGTCACTGCCTGTCACTCACTAACACTAATAAACCCCATCTGAATCAAGACAGCTTCTGTGTGTCTGTCTGAGGGCTGATTCGTTAAATTACACAATATGTGCATAATAACAAGCTCTTCCCTCTCTGTGTCCATTCATCATCACATACAAGAAATCCAATAACGTTCTTGTTTTGTATTTAATGCATTTCTGATGATGTATGATACCCAAATAAGTATAGGCTATTTACAGAACAGCTTGTTGGGGTGTATTGTTTGAGGAAATAGAAGTGGGTTGCGGATAGCTCTCAGAAACAAAACTGCAATTTGTTAGTTATTTTTAAAAGACGAGTCGCTACATGATTGATGTATAATGAAGTCAAGTATAGTTGTTTTACATTATAAGTTAGAATTCTGTATAAAATACTATAACATTTCAAATTTTTTTACCTGAACATAATTGCACACCTTAAAACATTCGTAAACCAATCAGAATCAAGCCCCGTATAGCCTAATGTTCTCTATTGTCCTGAAAGTGTAGTTTTCAGAATCAGTTTCATTCATCTCCTCTTCCTAATGGACCTCATCCTCATAATCACCATCTTCTGTGGAAGCCTTTTCTTTTCTTTTCTGCCTTTCATTTTATTGTTTTTGGTCTTCTCTGAGATGCTACACATTTCCATTATCATCCGTTTCGATATCTGACCTCATTAAAGGGCTCTCGCTGCCTTTTCTCCTGAACATTTTAATATAGGCTAATAATTACCTTTTTAAGATCTGCCATTGATTTTATTTCTGTAGTTTCTTTGACTAATGCTTGCACTTTCTTTCCTTGAATTTGGTTTTATCAGCTTTAAAATGTCATGGTGATGTGGACACAAAGAGGCAGTTGCTATGAGACAGGTGATAGTGCTACTGCAGAGCTTTAAAAGTGTGCCGCGCGGAATAATGCTGAGTTTAAAGTGACCACTGAAGTTAGCCCCCAATGGAGTTGGATAAAGGAACAAAGTAAGTGTATTCCTTTCCCTCATGCACTCTTTGATGGACTTGAATAAACAGTTAATAAAAGTCCAGTTAAAGTGGCAGCCAGTATAGCCATAAATCTTTAAGGGGTAGAATTTGTGATCACCTTGAAGTTTCCATCAGACATTTAGACAAAGAGCGATATTTATTGTGCCATTTTGTCAGGCTCCAACCAAAAAAACCAATGCAACAGAAAATGAAAAGAAAAATCACTAGATTTGTGATGTTGACACCTTGACACTTGCTCTCTGTTACTGAGTTTGTTTAAAGGGAACCGATTAAGGCCCTTTTTACAAGATGTAATATAAATGTCTGTGAAGTTTCAGCTCAAAATACTCCACAGATCATTTATTCGTGAGATGTTGTAAATGCCTATTTTTGAGTGTAAGGAAAAACATGCTGTTTTCGTGCATTTTTAAATGCAAATAAGCGCTGCTCCCCAGCCCACTTTCCAGAAGAGGGCGGAGCCTTTACAGCTCGTGCCCCTCTATGGTGAGAAATGTTGTGTAGCTTTTAAAGCTGCAGTCCGTAGTTTTTCCTCTTTGTCGCCATCTCTGTTCGAAATCTGCAATTGCAGTTATTCGCGGAATTATCAACTTTACGTGGGTTGTGCCTCGGCACGGCACAGCGCGGATGAATCCAATGTTTTGAGGAGAATGTGCGGCTGTTAGTCGCCGCGCCGGTGTGGATACTGCCATTCAGAATCACAGATTATACTTTTTGGATGTATGACCAACGTAAGAATTTTCACCTGAAAATGTCATCTGAACATGTAAGTAACATTCACTTTTGTTCTGACCAACTAAGGGATAAAAAGCATTGCAGTAAATCGCGCTGATTAAATCTAACGATTGCTTATCATATCACGTCAAACCGTGCAAATTATACTTTGTTCTCAATTTGTTAATGATATACATCAGCATTGCGTGACTACATTTAATGCCCTTCCGATATGTATCCTTGTTTTCGCATGCGTCGGTTGCAGTCTTTTTTTTTCTGAAGCCACTTCGAAGTCCGAAGTCTTTTCATTTTACAACGGGTGAATCTCTAGTTGTCACTGGTGATTGTCATTTGAACCTTTCTGGATCCGCCATCAAATTGATAAGTTTAATTATATCAAGTGCTGTGAGAAAAGGCTATAAATCTCCACCTCCAACATCCTCACACGCAATATAGTCTTCTAGCCGAGACTCCTTCTTTATGTGTACAGATGTGACGTAACACAAAGACATGCTCGAATTTCCCGCGGAAATCCACCAGTACCACTGGAATTAAAAACATTATTACAAGTGTTGTGGCAAAAATTCTGTTAAATATCATCACTGCGTAAGAGACAACTCGAAATCAAATTTATAACAGAGAAGTATTTATTCTTGCAAGAATAGGCAGTCGCCAACACAGCCGTTAACTTGTGGAGTGAGTGAGACACAGAAATGGGCAATCTTTATACTGCTCTTCAAGGTCCTTTTACCTGCAGAGATAACCAGTAGTTTTCCACAGACAAAAGACCCGTTACTGCTAGCTTCGATTTATCGCTAGCTGGCCCTTTAAGCCCCCCCAAACTAGATGACCTCCTGACCTCAGAGGTCGGAGGTCCTTGCCCACCTGTTTAGAGTGTCTCGCTCCTGCACTTCAGGTGTATAAACATACATACATTTCAGAGAAGTTCCTCCTTCTCACATCAGACTGCAAATGATAAAACCATGATATTCCTTTGCAATGTCCACTGGAAATCAATGAAAATCAAAAATGTCCACAACACAAGCTTACCATTTTGAATCGAGCTAAGGCAAGCAGATAGTTTTTAACACTGGCTGGTTATACTTGCTCAAAAATTTATTTTGGAAAATATTTACCCCAAAAAAGTTACGGAATGCAGCTTTAAGTTGCTGAACTATTTTACTGGTAAACTCGTAAGAGCAGCGCTGACAACTGCAAGTGTGTGTCTGTACTGTATGTGTGTGCATTTGTAATAATTTGTCGTTTTTATCCTATTGTTTACTATATTTGCTTGGTCTTTGTCATTGTGGGTTGTTGGTATGGTATAAGGATCTTTGAAATAACTGAAATCATTTGACCAAGTGATATGGACATGTAATGCGATCAAGACTTGCCTGGAACTACTTTAGCCGTGTGATTCCCTTAAAAAATTGCACACCTTTGAACGTTTGACTACCAGTCAGAATCAAGCATTCATCAGCCCCTTAGTAGAAACGTAATTTAATCAGCAAACTGTGAATTATAAAATTAGTGCAAACCCTGATATGTGGTTTAAAGTGGTCATATTTAAAATAATTTCCACCTTTAGATCCGCTTTTAATGTTAATAAAGAATTTATGTGCCAAAAACAATCCTAATTTAGCTTATGCATGACCATTTTCTCCCTATTTGTCTTATTATTTTAACCGTGTCTTATAATTTGCACCGCACAAACTGCTAAAATCAGACTGAAATAATCAGCGATTTTATTAAAAATGGACCTCATTGTGAGATCACATATTCAGATCTGTTTGACGTCAGTAAGATGTGAGAGGAAAAATGTTTTTCTAACCCTAACCCTTTATTATCTACAAGTTATTTAAGGCTACCAGGGAGTCATATGATAAACCACTGATACTGATGCACACCCTGCAGACCCCTAAACATTTTTTTTCTGTGCTGTAAGACCTTTTGATTTCCTGTCCATTGTCATGTTTCCATCATTCAGTCCCTCCAGACCGAGCTCTGTGCTACACTAACATAATGGATTGTGAACATAGGTAAAAGCAGAAAGCTGTTTTGACTCTGTTAAACACTGAGGTCTTTTTACCTTTTTAAAATGTCATAGGTCAAATTACATGCCACTTACAGCAAGTAAACAAGAATTAAATATAAATTAAAAACATCAAAAGACAAAATAATAATAATTTAAAGTCAGCATAAAACAGAAGTTGCGATGGTCTTTTTCCCCTATTGTGACGTATATCCGAGAGAAATGGCTTCTCAAACAAGAAAAATGTAGGGCGAGACTTGATTTTGGGTGCGTCTCAATCAGCTCCCTAGTTCAGTATTCAGGGCAGGGAGTCGGCCATTTTAAGGTCTGTCTCAAGTGCAAAATCCTTCCAGCACTGGAACGTTCACTCCCTAAAAAATCCCACAATCCACCACAAAAACCAGGGAGCGCCGATGCTCTGAAGCGCGAAACATAACTCAATAAATATAATGACATAAGATAGAGGATTTGAAAAGACAAACCGTTTTTTTTTAAACCGACAATATGTCAGCATAAACACACATCGCTAGGTAGTGAACACATCTCGTACATTTATAATTAATATTTGGCTGAATGTTGTAAGGATATGTAACAGAACAATGTGTTTAAACAGCATTAAAAAAATAATATACCTGTTGTTGATTAATACCAGCGGTGACGTTCTACAACCATATACTTTGACGTTGTACTTAGGTTACCAGAAAACGAGTAATCACTGTCCCAATGTGTAGTGAGCCAGGGTCCTTACCACTGCCCGGATTCGTGTAAACGATATACTGATTCACGATCTCGGGAGCTAATTGAGACACTTATCGGGAAGTAAGTGACTTTCTCACTCCACCACGTAAAACGTAAACGTCAGATGTTGTTATAGGATGATATAGCATGCTGAAACTCGCTTCAGAAGCGAGGTTGTGTTGTTGCAAGTGCCGGGTGAGCAGAAAAAGACAATATAACAGGGACATGTTTTGAAACCGGCGGAGATGACAGTGTAGAATAATGCCGCTCATACCAGCATCCTATGCTTTTGCCGCTGCCTCAGAAGACGCAGTAGTCCACCATGCCGGCTACACATTCTCATGTGGTAAATCAGACAACATCTCTATTGCAAACCCCTCCATGTTGCGATTGCTGTTGATGTTTTTTTGCGTATACCTACCAACTCAACGCCATTGCCATAGAAAACAATGAGGATATTCTGGAAAACGAAAGAGCGGCATGGATACACAAATCGGATCGGAACACTTGCTATAGTGGACACTGGACAGTCAATAATTTTAGATCATATTCCAATTGGATACACAAATAATCGGATTTGAACTGACTGTGTGAACGTAGCCATAGACTCTATGCACAATTACTTCCACGTTTCTTCTCAGCCAGCTCAGTTACATCCGGTGCAGCGCCAGAAGCCGTTTTTGCTATTGGTGATAACTATGTGAAGACAGTGCTGGAGAGGATGACAAATTACACTCGCTGTTTACAAGAGCTTCCACCCCATTATTGTGAATGACTTTAATTGTATTTTGAGGCAGTCAGCTGTCACACACAACAGTAAGAAGGAGAAGGGCTTTAAATGTATATATTTCGAGTTACATCGAGTGTGCCTTGGCCATTTCACTGGAACAAGATGGATACAGTCCCCTTTAGATCAGATAATCACTAATGAAGTGACAACTGCAGACCTTTTGTATGAGATGTGATGTTAAATCCCTCAAGTCGAATGTTGTGTATCCACTTTCTATATTCACACGTCACACTGGTCCTCTCAACAAAAAACCCAATACGAAATTTTCCATTTTGGATTATCTCAAAAAACAAGCTCTGTGATCAACAAACGTTTATGATACTTACACATTTTGTTCATCTCGATCATTTTCACAGATAAACACTACTTTTATGAATTTTGAAGACTAAATGCAGTCACCAAAAGTAAAAAAGCTAAAGGTAGGCTATAAACGAATTACAACACGGTCCCATGACTTCAACGTCACCACCACTAAGCTTCCAGCAACTCTTTCAGTTTTTATCTAAAAAACATTTTCCCAAAAAGTTAGAGTAAGAATAGTTTATAAGACCACGATTATAAGCATAATGGCTGTAAAAGCAGACTGAGCCATTTGTTAGCAACCACCTTTTTCAAGACACATAGCAGCTTAAAAAAATTCATGAGTGGGGTAATACTGATTTATTTTATGTTGTAGGATAAAACTTGAAAGTATCTTGAGCTTGTGTTAACCACAGACCTTATTTCAACCACATTTAAAAAAACAATTGACTTCGGGATGATGAACCGGAAGTGCTACAATGTTAACTTGTGTCCGTGTTTTGGTCTACAAATTTACGTCATATACCTGCACCACTCTATTGGATGGTTGTGGTGCTGTGTTCTGATGTGAGTGACAGGTTATCCCACCCTCATGCTAGAAGAGAAGATATGTTGTTGCAAGAGGGAGGGAAATTATTTTGATTAAAGATTCTGAGCACACATATATTGAAAAAAAAAAGAATGATGTGCACAGATAAATAATTTATAATAAATACTGCAATTTTCCATAAAATATAAAATAGCCTGTTTTGTACATGAGAACTGCGGAGTCTAGGAAAAATATTTCAACAAAATATTTGATTTACAAATGTGAATATGTACATTAATTAACATAATATACAGTATGTACGAAATGTAGGCTAGACCTACACAAGCTCATATTCCTCAAGACAACATATATTCATGTTGAATGTATGTTATAAAGCGTAGCTTTATATTATTTATGTAACTGATCTGTCATCCCAGAGACATATTCATCTTGATGTTTGGTTTCTATAAAGAAAACATTTTGTCTTTCTTTTTGTTTACTTAGAATCTTCATAAGGAATTCAACCCTTCTCTCCTCCTGCTGCTGGAAAAAAGAAGCTGCTACTTTCCTCCGAAGGCGCCGAGCGTAAACCTCCAGCGGCAGCAGGGTGTAGCTGAACAGATAGAGGAACACCAGCGCCATCACTACACTTGGGTTCAGCTTACTGGATTGGGCCTCACACACGTTTGGATCAGAGTGAATGAGGGCTGCGTAAGGTCTGTTGAAGTTGACATATTCTACCAGACAGTTTGAGTGAAAGAGCTGACAAATGTCCACTTTTGTTTCAACCTGAGATGATTAGAAATAAAGGGGAAGAGAAGAGAGAAGGGTTATTGTTTTTCACAATAGTGAACTAACTATTTACTTTCTTTATTTGAGTATTTTCATTGTGGGAAACGTGTAGGACTACTTCCCTTAACTAAATGAAATTAATTTTCTGGGAATTCATACAATGTGATTCTTACTGAAACCTGATTTCTATGAAAAATATGAAGGTCCACCCCTTATACTAACCATCAGTGGGGCATAAGAATCATACAACGGCGTATAGCCTGTAAATGAGGTTTTTCATTAGCCATAAATTCGACAAAACGTAAAATAGTTAGGCTTGTGTTGGGCCTAAACTATCGAATTTTGAGATGGTTTATTGTAAATGGAATTCATATGAAGCTTATAAATTACATGTAAGATGTTTAAAATGAGTTAATATCTCATAATAATTAATAAACATGACAGACAAAGCTCAAATCTTCTAAAGCTCTATATATGTGAGAGATCTTAAAATATGTATTTGGAGCAGGAGCCTGGAGATCAAAATGCAATAAGTATATGATGCACAATTTTGACTTTACACATTAGTACTTAATTACTTTTTGTAGATTTACATTAGTAGAAATTGAAAAGGAATGCAATTTTTTTTTTTTTTTGAGTTATATTTCATCAGTATATCCGTATTTTAAGAAGAAACAGGTGGAGTGGATTACCCTGAAGTTGACGTTGATGCTGATGTTGGTGGATGGCATGTTTGAAATCCAAGGACCACCTGATTTCACCAAGTAATACAAGAAATGGTCCAGCACTATCAAAAGGATTGTCATTAACAGATAGAGAGTGATCCCCAGGGCAGGAACCAGACATTTGAAAAGTTCCCTTTTAGTTATTCTGAAACTGGTGGAGTTTACTCCATTTTTCACATCTTTTGCTTCAACCATGATCCCTTTTTCGACTGCTTTCCTCCTGAGCCCACCTGTGATATACGTGTTGTCAAATCTTACAGACTTCAAATAAGAGCGAAGGTACATGACAGACTCTGTCAACAAATACAGAACAAAAACAGCTGCAAAGATTCTGCTGAATAGCAGCTTCAGATCCTGTACTTGACTTTTAACTTCAGAAAAATCCTCCTGCACTCGCTGACTCAAGAAATGCAACCGTCCCTTCACTTCTGATACATTAATATTTGTGGTGTGATCAAAATCACGTAGTGTTAAACTGCTTTTCTCTTGCTCTGCGCTTCTGACTAAATCGTCCTTGATGGTGTTGATGAGCTCTGAGCTGCTTAAAATACTTTGAGAGAGTTTTTCTGATGCACATTTCACAACATGTGTTAGAGTTGCAATGTTGGCAGCCATGTTGGGTAGAACGTAGAGCACTACAATCATCACAGATGCAGACAAGAGCAGTTTACGGCCCTGTCGGGTAAACAGTGTCGGGAAGATTAGTGTGAAGGCACATCGGAACGGATGGATGAGAGATGACAGGATAAACACAGCTGTGGCATAGATAGCAACTGCAACAAATGCCGTCTGGATGTCATATTTCAAAAGGTCTGTGAGCCAGTGGAAAAGTAGTGAGGCAGTCACAGCAGCCATTAAGAGACAGAGAACCAGTAGAGCGAGCAGATGACCTGAACTCTGAGGAGTTGGAGAAGAGTAGCACAACCAGAGCATCTCCATAACGCTCCTCACTGAGGCTCTAACACACACAAACACATAAATAGGAAAAGAGATGAGAAATTAGACAAAGGGAAAACATTTGTCTGTATGAGAAAGAGTCAGTATAGCCTGAAGGTGCTGTAAACGATTTTTATGGAATGGTATGCAGAAAGAATACTAATTTTGTGGGGAAATTTCTGATTAAAGCTGTACTTCTAAATAATAATTCAAAAATAAAGACAAACAAAAAGCAACTTTGATAACTCCTTTCACAGCATTACACGTTACACGGTATTGTAATGAATTGCTATAGCAAAATCAACACCAACATGTATGTAACTAAATGTAGTGTAATAATATACACACTGTAAGAGTGTGACAGAAAATATTGACATACCTGAGGGAAAACAAAGAGAGACGGTAGTTTCTTAAGGGCATCATTATTGTCGATTAAAAGGAGGCTTGAAGAAGATCATGGATTTCTCTCAACATTAAAAGATCGGTCATCAAAGCAAAACTGGTCAGCTCATATTGAATTGAGCTTGGCACCACATACACCCATATATATACTGTACACCCAATCCCATGACTCTGAGCTGGATGCTGGACACACATGTACACTGACTCATACAGTTGCTCAGATTCACATGATACCCAAACACAGATCACACCGCAAAGCTGCTATCATCACATGACATGAAGAAAAAACTAAACTGCTCTTTTAATTAACCTTAAAAAGGAAAATATACAAAAACAACATTTTAAAAGGGAAGTCTGTAAGTGCTGTGCTTGTTGGTTTCAAATGGTTTTCATGTAACGTGTATTAAAACTGTGTTCTCATTCAGTGTTCTAAAAAAGGCTTTTTGGTTGTGAAGGGTTGGTCAAAATCCCTTGCCTCTTTAAATACATATATAATCATATATCATTTTGAATGGTTATATACTTCCTTTATAAAAATCAATAATCAAATATATTCATTATCACATAATAATTTTTATATTCTTGTGCTTGTGAAATTATATTTTCTTAAATGCATGGATGCAAGTAACCAGTTTCTTTTAGGTGCATTCCAATCTTACTTTGAGATTGCACTTAGTACACGCAGGACACGAAGGCCACGGAACCCACAAGGCCGTTTGTCTCTTTCTCTGGGATCAGTAGAAAGGTTAGAGGGTCCTAAAGGCAGCGTGGGCACATATGATTCTTCGCTGGACATATGGTCAAGCTATATTGAGCGTTACTATCAAACTTGAATTGTTGTATTAAAATGTATTCTTTCCAGTATATTTCCTTCCTTGGGAGTAAATGTCAGTTATCTGTTTTTCTCCCAAACGAGTGAATGTTTTAGCATTATGTTTTGGTATACTTAACTTAACTGATAATAAGGAGCTCAGACTCTCTTCAGCCTTGATGGGAGCTGTTATTTGCTAGTGTCTGTTATTTGTGTGTGTGTGCGTATGACATTCTATGTAGGTTCTGGACGTTCGGACCAGACACCCCGGCGCCCTTCTCTAACCTGCGAGGCCACCACAGACCTAAATCCAATGAGTGGACGACAACTATCTTTACTAATGGCGATAGGCACCCCTATCTCCTCACATGTGTTAAATTGTTTAGGCTTTCATGTTTCTTAGCCAATGAGAATCATTCAACCTGTAAGCAATGACGTAGCTTAGACCTTGGAAATGGTATAACTGCTGTGATCTTTGTAACTGTAAGTGGGGCGGCCTACGAACTCCTGTGTGAGTCTTGAAGCTGACTTCTGCTGATGAAAATGCAAACTATCTTCAGTAAAACTTTTCTTTAATTTTTTATAATTCTGACTCCGGGTCTTCATTCTTCATATCTGGTTCTGGGTCTTTGACTGTATACCCCTTACAGTTATGGTGGAGGATGCGCTGGCAATTATTCTCGGTGACACCCCTGGCAAATCAACAAACAAGGTAGTAAGCTTTTGTTAATTGTTAGGGCTGTCTGACTGGAAGAGATTTTGAAGGAGAGCGGGAGAGCTTCACTCCGATGAGGCGAGTGAAGCTTCACTCCGATGAGGCGAGTGAAGGAGTAAGTTAATTATACTGCTGACAGTATAAGAAGTCGCTGAGAGCGTCGTTAAGGGTAACGGCAGCAGACAGCGCAAGCGAAGCGTGCTCTGTGGGGGCCCCGCTGGGCATTACTGGTGTAGCACCACCCCAGCAGAGCACGTCCCTGGGCTAGAGGTCCAGTGGCACCGTAAACCTGCTCAATCTCTTCCATCTCAGATAGGGGATCCCCGAACTTAGTGAAGTGAATCAGGCAGTTAGGGATACTAACAATAATAGGGTTGTTTGCCAGGGATGCATCAGGAACAATTCCGAGAGAAAAATTTAAAAAGTTGTGACCCAAATTGGCATGGACCAGTATATGTAACTGTGATTTTGGAGTATACTTTGCAGTTTCATCACGCAGAAGCCAAGCTGTGTTGTTCAAAGATCGCCGCCTCCATTTCTGCAATAACTTCAGGTGAGTATGAACCATGATTAAGATATGGCAGAAAAATGTAATAACTTAATCAGTAACCTGAAGAGTCCTGAAACAAATAGTGAGACAGGAGAAGCAAACGCTGTAAGCAGCTGTGCTCTAAAGCCCTCACTTTAAATAAATTTGCAGAAATGAAGTTGAGTAATGAAATGAAGAAAGTAAATGGTAGTCAGGATTTTGATTCTGATTGGAAATTTAAACAACTTGACTGGCTACAAACAAACAAAGAAACTGAAAAATTAAAATGTTTAGCCTCGTATTGCTTACGGTGATTACAAGAAGCAAGTGAAAGAAATTCTGGGTCTGGGATAATTTCCCTGGACAAGCGACTAAAGTTAAACAGGCACTTTGTGAAAACAACTTAGAATATTTTGCAGCTTATGAAAATTAATGTTCTGCCAATAATAATGATGAAGATTATGATTGGGCTATTATGATTAAATCCGCCACTGGTGGACTGTAAAAGAATACAGAGAACTGCTTAATCAGTAGCTCTGTTTACATTCCTGAATGGGACACACACTGCTTCAAGGGCGTGCTAAGTTGGAGCCGTTGAGGCTGACACATGAACCCACCAGATGACAGAGAGTGTTTTAATGGTGGTCATCAGGACCATTTAATACGTAACTCTAAATTCCCACCGAGAAGGTGTTTAAAAATGTGATAAAATGACAACACATTTCTGGTAATAATGTGAGTTTGAAAGTAGATCAGTGTTTAAATGACGATATTAAAGTTGTCGTCTGAGAAAGAACAAGAGATAAAACAAGGTCAAAAGATTGAAGTCTTAAAGTGAATCCTTTTGAAGAAAAGATCTATAATACTAATTTTTAGTGAATTGATGAATACAGGTTGATGTAAAATTAATGACTCCAACAAATGTGAGTTGCAAAATATATCAAAGTAACTTAAAGGATGATTGTGTTGTAATTAAACATTTTAAAAAGGTTTTAGATGATATAGAGAGACTAATCTCACAGATGATTTACAATAACTGCAAAAGTATCACAAGCAGAGAGTGCTTGCCTCGTCAAACTTAGTGTGAATCCTAATTGGAGATTGATAAACTCCAAGAGAAAACTGAAGTCAAATATTAAACTATGGTTGAGAACTTGACAATTAAAATTGAGATTGAGAAATGTGAAACGTTATTGAGAACTAGAATAATTATTTTTATGTAAAACAAATAAGCAGAAGCCGTACTGAATTAACAGTTGCTAAATGCTGATTAAACAAACAGCTTGAAAAGTTGACCATGAAAGAACTAGAAGCTGATGTTTAGTTTTCAAAAGATAAGTTTGTTATTGGCTGTAAGAAAACAGTTTGCTTATCTGAATCTGATGTGTGCTGTGGCTGAAACTGCCAGTGCAACAGACTCAATCTGAGTGGAAATTTGTAATGCCTAAATTTCCTGATGTGTGGGCAAAAGACAAATATAAATAATATGTTTATTTGAAACCGTATGTAATATCTGGCAAAGATGCCTTAAGCTGGGATAGAGTTCAAAGATGGTAGATAAAGTTAGACGTTCAGAGTGCAGTGTACCAGTCCCTCTCTCATTCAATGTCTCTCTCTCAGTCAATGTCAGCTAAAAGCTGTTACCTGAGTCGGTGTCATAAGTGATAATAAGCTATTTGTAGTGACATCTTTGGTTAGGTTAGGACCAGTAACTTCTTTGTCTGATCTTAGTCCCCACCATGAAACGGGGGAGGGGCCGACGGAAAAGTACACTGAATGTACGGTTGTGATCTAAATTCACTGAGTATAATCCAAGTAGCTAGGTTGCTGCTTTTAAGATAGTTAATGGATTTAAGTGATTAAATACTGTTGTTCTGACCTGTCTCCCTATGTGAACACTATAAGGCAATCCGAATGGCTCTGGTGACTCTTGAACGTGCCTTTCCTAAGCTCTAGAAAACAGCTGAGTTCTGTTGAAGCAAACAGCCTGTGATGGGAAAGAGCGGTCACCAGTGGGCACGAGTGGCTACTCAATGACGGGTAAGACCTTCTATTGGCCAGACAGGGGGCAACCCAAGCCAGAGTGGATCACGTAAAGTCACTGGGCATCTCAAGATGGAGGTGTTTATGTGAGAAAGGTATGAGAGTGGAGCGGATGACTGTGAGGCCAGCAGCATCCTTTATCGTTAGGGCGGATGCGCTGTGAGGAGTTACAGACAGTCTGACCCCGAAACGTGAGTGTTCCTCTAATACCAATCACCAGAAACCGCATTCATTGTATGGCTTGTTTTTTTATTGTGACAAGCGTCTGCAAATATGCCAGGGGAAAACACCCTGCTGGAGATTATAGATAAAGGGCTAACAGAAATGGGCTTTCAAGAGCCAGCTGAGGCCATGAAGTGATTCCCATTAGTTGTTGTGGAGACAGTAGCAAAACTTTTTATGTACTGGTTTGCCTTATGGGCAAGGAAAATCATAGTGTTGATTTTGAACTAATAGGTCTATGACATAGTTTTAACTCCTGAAGGTCGTTAGACATGGTGGTGGCTAAAGATGAAGACAGCTTTTGTAGATTTGAGAAAAGTCTGGATAACAAGGTGAATGGTCAAAGGTTATTGTAATTAATTTAATATTACATTATGTCTAAGTTACAGCCTTAGAAGGCTGTTGAAAAAGATTATTTATTTATAGTGAGAGAGACTGCTTGAGCAGAGGAAGGGATGGTAACTGTGTCTGTCTTTCCATTATTGGCCTGCTAGAGCAAGCTGAAGCAAAATAATGATAATGAAACAAAACAACCCAGCTGACCTCGTTAAATTCTAATGAATAATGAACAAGACATGCTTTGAAACTGGTTGGGAGACCATGTAAAATTAGGTAGAAGCTACCGGAAAATGGGAAGTTTAAAATCTTATTTAAAATTTAAATCTTTTTAGCAATAACATAAAGAAAAATTAATATTGAAAATGAACAGTTAACATATGCGTGTCTAGTATGAGTGCGTGTGATGGTGACAGCACTTTTGTCTTGTATGTATTAGTTTGGGGTACTATTATTTCCTGATTTTGAGGATATTGTGTCATTAACCTCTGGAATTAGTGTTTTATCATTACAGATGGGTTAAGTGAAATGACCAACTTTAGAAAAGTTGATAATTCTAAGTCAATCTGATGAAAAGACAATGCAGAACATGGGACGAACTTTAATTGGAGTGGTTTTCCAGCTCTGTCTGCTATTGGTAATTATGAATGCTTTTGTCATTTATGATATTGAACTGAATTACTCTCTGGATTAGTATTTTATATAAATTGGAATTGTAAAGAAGATTGCCGTCCATTCTGGGGTAAAACTCTTGTCTAAATTCAACTGAGGGTCTAAATTTAAATAGACAACTAGGTGGGATCATAAGGTTAAACGTAGGGAAAAAAAATATATATATATATAGACTTGACGGCAGAGAGACAAAGTGGCACATTGGCTAAGTCACTATCCAAATTATCCAGAGTGAGCTCTATCATTTTTATTGAAAGGCCGGAGGGCGAACAAAGGAGGAGTGAATATAACTTCTAAAAAGAAAAGGTTTTATTTCTCAATCCCTTAAATGTATGTATGACATTAGATGTCTAAGAAAACTACAATTTAATAAAGGTAAAAAGAGAAAGCAGCTATATGGCTGTGGGCTGGGATCTGAGTAACATAATATTTTGGTTTCTGTAAAACTGTAAAGATAAGTGGAACTGAGACAAATACTGTGAGAAGTAGTTATAATGAAAAATAAAGTTGAAGTTAATGATAAGAAAACAAGAGTATTGAAGAATTAATAAAATACCATGATTTCCCTAACGAGGGAACTTTAAGTGTCACTAGGCTGACAGTGGTGAGAGACTCGGATGCAGAAGGAACTGGCATGTAGGGCAAGATGGAAGAAATATAGTAGAAGAAAATGTATGTTATGAAAATACAATTTCTGATAGGATTTATGGAAGTCAAATTAAGTTTAAATGGTATGAAAAAGGTTAGGGTTAGACATTGTATGATTGACAGGGATTCAAGTTATATAAGGATAAGGAATGAACAAAAGCTTTATTAAGCAGAATGGGGAACAATCCTATATTTTAGTGGTAAAATAATGACTGAAATGATGATGTGAATTTGTTTTATTTTATTTCTATTTTTGAAACAAACAAAAAAGGGTATAAGATGTTATACAATTAAAATGGTACATGCTATGTGACTGTAAACTGAAGGATGATTTCAGTAAAGACTTAAAGTGCTTACATCGATTATTATGGGTCTTAATTATTAATATTTTATTGTTTGTTGTTTATTTTTAGTTAGACAACCATTGTGTTTTAAACCTAAAGGGTCTATAAAAGGGGTAGTGAAAATAATGGATTAACCATCCAATTTGTTTATAATAAAAGGATTTGGAAATCATAATTTTATAAATAAAAAAAACTAGTGCATATATTCTGGTACTCATGATTATAGACAATGTCTTTATTTAGGATCTGAGTAGTGACTGTGGATCTAGCCCATGCTAGGAATACAGCAATAGTGCTTGCTTATTTAGCCTGGCTTCCAAAGAAAAAATATGTACTTGTTTCGTAATCAGTTATGTGTTTTATAAAATTTTAACCTGACTGATAAACTGAGGAAGAATGACATTGATGTCCTGTTGTGAGTGGAAGGTGGGAGAGCCTCTTAATGGGGACTGGAATTTTTAGTATCCAGCATGTCCATGACGAGGTGAAGAGACAAGTGTGACCCGGCAGGGGAGCATGCGTCACCACTCCTCCCTTCCGTAGTGACCTCACTGGTTAGACCAGACGTGGCGGTATTGGACCCCACATTGGTCTAAAACGGGGGACTGAAGGGTTGGTCAAAATCCCTTGCCTCTTTAAATACATATATAATCATATATCATTTTGAATGGTTATATACTTCCTTTATAAAAATCAATAATCAAATATATTCATTATCACATAATAATTTTTATATTCTTGTGCTTGTGAAATTATATTTTCTTAAATGCATGGATGCAAGTAACCAGTTTCTTTTAGGTGCATTCCAATCTTACTTTGAGATTGCACTTAGTACACGCAGGACACGAAGGCCACGGAACCCACAAGGCCGTTTGTCTCTTTCTCTGGGATCAGTAGAAAGGTTAGAGGGTCCTAAAGGCAGCGTGGGCACATATGATTCTTCGCTGGACATATGGTCAAGCTATATTGAGCGTTACTATCAAACTTGAATTGTTGTATTAAAATGTATTCTTTCCAGTATATTTCCTTCCTTGGGAGTAAATGTCAGTTATCTGTTTTTCTCCCAAACGAGTGAATGTTTTAGCATTATGTTTTGGTATACTTAACTTAACTGATAATAAGGAGCTCAGACTCTCTTCAGCCTTGATGGGAGCTGTTATTTGCTAGTGTCTGTTATTTGTGTGTGTGTGCGTATGACATTCTATGTAGGTTCTGGACGTTCGGACCAGACACCCCGGCGCCCTTCTCTAACCTGCGAGGCCACCACAGACCTAAATCCAATGAGTGGACGACAACTATCTTTACTAATGGCGATAGGCACCCCTATCTCCTCACATGTGTTAAATTGTTTAGGCTTTCATGTTTCTTAGCCAATGAGAATCATTCAACCTGTAAGCAATGACGTAGCTTAGACCTTGGAAATGGTATAACTGCTGTGATCTTTGTAACTGTAAGTGGGGCGGCCTACGAACTCCTGTGTGAGTCTTGAAGCTGACTTCTGCTGATGAAAATGCAAACTATCTTCAGTAAAACTTTTCTTTAATTTTTTATAATTCTGACTCCGGGTCTTCATTCTTCATATCTGGTTCTGGGTCTTTGACTGTATACCCCTTACAGTTGGTCCCACAATCCCAATATATTTTCTTATGTTCTGGCAATTTTTATATTTTCTTTCTATGGATTTGAGTGTTAAGTCTGTAAAAATGTTTGTTTTTGTCAACAACTCAACATCATTTTGTTGGATCCAAGCTTTAATTAGGATTTATGGATGATGAACACAAGATTATAAACATCTAACATGGAAATGATACATAATTAATTACTTGCATACTTTACATAAATACAATCAAATTTACATTAATACAACACACTTACAATCTAAAACATATGCAGAGAATTATTTATTAAAAATGTTGAGATTTTCATTGAGAACATGTTGAATTTCAAACATGCTTCCTATCAGTTTAAAACTACATATAAATATGATATATTTTAAAACATTTTTAGATGTCCTGCCCCTAATTGGTGAAGTGGCATCAAGGCACAAGAGAGCAGTGCTGAGCAGGAAGTGAGGTTGTGATAGTGTTGATCCATCCACTGTGGGAATCCCTCAGTTAAGCAATTTTTCCACTTCTTTTTAGTCTTATATCTTTACACAGAATCTGGACTGAATGTGTATGTATGCATGGATGCCCTTACAAAAGAAAAGTTTATTCAAGTGTACTATTAGTATACTTCTTTTAACTAAAAATAAGATAGTATACTTTGTCTTTTTATGTACTTCTATTATTATATTTGGCCTATACCGGTTCTCGATCTTTTGATCGAGATATACTTAAAAGTTTAATTAAGTATTCTAAGTATACCTTGTAGTTGTTTACTCTTTTGATTGAGGAGTAAATACTATATATATTATTTTTCCACATAGTTTTATATACTGTCTTATAAACATACATTGTTTGAAAATATTGATTTATAAAGAAAACAGATGTGTTCCTAATTCTGAGTATGTGAACTTTTGTGCAGTCCACTGGTAGTGTACGTAGGAATTTACTTCAAGTACAGTTAAAAGTATATTTCAAGTATAAAAATTACCTAAATAGGAACATAGTACTATATTTAAAGTGCAAAAATAATATATAAATAGTAAACTATAAGTTTGATGTTAAGTTCACTTAAATAAAACTTACAGGTATACTTGCAGTGTAAAACTACTAAACTAGTTGTTTACTGAGAGTATACTTCAAAATGTGCTTTCATAAACTAAAAAATGTGCTACAAATATTTAACTATCAGTATATCTATAAGTTCACTTGTTGTATAGTTGCAGTACAAACAAAAAACGTTCTTGTGAACTAGTTGTGTACTCAAAGTTTACTACTGATACACTTAAAGTAAACATTAAAGTGTACTTTTATATAGGCCTACTAAAAAGTGGGCCAATTTAGTCCCACATAGTATTGAAATAGTACACTTACAAGTATACTACTAGTACATTGATATTACTTAAAGTATAGCTAAAATTAACTTGAAGTATAATTATTTTTGTAAGGGTGTCCATCTCTGTAGTTGTTCTCTAGCCTGTCATATTCATAGCTGATACAGTATGTGTAGCCACAGTTGCAGAGGAAGCATTCAAAGGTCTTGCCCAATCAGGGTACACATGTAGATTGAACATTTGAAGACCCCATGTGTTCATGGCAAGAGACACGCACAGAATTCCTAGGATGTTCATCACAAACCCTGTCTTCACCTGTAAACATCACACATCTTATTTTGCAACTGAAAACAAAATCTGTGAATAATGATAATGATTTTAATGTGTTTTTGTAGTTGTCTTCTTACCATATCCTTGACCATCAGATGTCCGGAGGCAAATGCAATTGAGTTAGGAGGTGTGGACACTGGAAGCATGAAAGCGTAAGAACAACCAGTCGTTGCTGGAATCATGAAGTACAGTGGGTTGACTTTCACACGGATGGCCTGAAAATAAAGTATTTGGTTGATGTAATGTCACAATGTAATACTACAGTATATATAGTACTACAGTACAGTATCAAATTCATCACAATTTGGCATCATATATGTTTGGGTTAGTAAGATGCATCTTTTATTGCATTTCTTAATTATTTTATTTAACAAGGATGCATTAAATTGACCAAAAGTAAAGTTTAACTGTTTTAAACTGAAATCAGTATATTATAATGAATTTGAAGGATCATGTCACACTGAAGACTGAAATAATGATGTTGAAAATTTAGTTTTGCCATCACATGAATAATTTACATTGTAAAATATATTAAAATAGAAAATAAATTTAATAATTTAGGATAATATTTCTGTTTTTGCTGTTTTTTTTATCAAATATTATATACTGTATACATACATAGTGTAAATCACACATAGCAACAAACTGGTAACACAAAGTTGTGCTTTAAGTTTGTCTGTACCAGTTCAGCGATGACAGGGAGAAAGATGATGATGGTGGCCGTGTTACTGGCAAATTCAGTGAAGCAGGCGATGAAGGCTGTGATGAGCATTACTGCGACTGCGGGAGGGACCTGGGCGAGAGGCTGCAAGTGGTTTCCTATCCATACTGCTAACCCCGACTCCTATTGCCAAAAAAAGTTCTTCATTGTTTAGGTCAAGAGAAGGTTGTTTTGTTCAGATATTTACATTTGTTCTAATTTCAACATTGCCTTTCAGTGAATTATCAACAACACAACTGCATTAGAAGAACCTTTTATGCGTTAATTACAATTTGAACTTTTAGCCATGTAATGTCATGTTCCAGCTTGTAAATCAGTGAAAAGCAGATAATGAGGTACCTCACAGCCTTTGGCCATTGCAAATCCACCACCCAACAGCAAAATAATATTCCATGGCACACACTCTTGAGCTCTTCTCCATGACAACAGGGGCACATATGGAGTATTTGAGGCTGGAGACAAAGATAGAAATTCTAATGACCACAAGCCGACTGACGATCTCTGCCACCGATCAAATGAAATGTTTACTGTATATGTTTAAAACTACATTGATTTTAAGACAGTTAAATTCTACAACTTGCTCAACATTCACAACCTCTGTGTGTTTGATTTCTGAATTGGATTACATCTTTTGAACTGCACAAGGAAAGAAAATTGATTGCAGCATCTGACAGCAGATTAAATAAAGACATTATGCTCATCCTCAAGATGGTAATGTGGACTCCAGAATGTCTGATGGTTGCCACTTTTCACAGCCTTAAATATAAAATGCAGCCTATGACCAACAGAGGGTTTTATACAAGTATGTTTTAAACAGCATATTTACTTCTTACTATACAGAGAATAATAAATCACAATATTCATGTTTTACATCTGGTGTAAAATTAACTTGAAGTACAAAGTAGTACTATGCTGAATCAACCTCTAAAGTTCAGCACAAAAATCTATTATAGGTAAACAACAGGGAACATGTTGAATGTGCTCAGCCAAAAAATATGACGTTACAAAACACTTTACAAATTCACACTTCAGACGGCGAATGAACAGAAAGCCATAGAAGACATCTCACATCTCAGCAAAGCCGGTGACAATAATAAGGCTACAGGTTTTTTCTGTTGCTCAACTGGCCAAGCAATAACAAGGTCATTGGGTTCAGTTCAGTTTACAAGAAAACTAGTGCAAAGATAAAATGTAAACATTGAATGTAACTTGCTCTGGATAACAGCCTCTGGCAAATGTATAAATGTACAATTTACAATGCTGTTCCACCTCCAGAAACAGATTAAAGTTGCACAAATACATATATGTTTTTCATTTGAGCACACACAATTTATCACTTAAAGCAGCACTCAGTAAGAATTCCGTTTTTGTCAAACAGCGACCCCTAGAGTCGCTGTGGAGCACTTGTACTGTCGTGAATAGCACTCACGCAGAGATGGCTCGCACTCAGGGCCGGATCCCCTCCCCCTGTACACCGGTACCTGTTCAGTAGGATGGACGCTGTAACGAGTGGAAATAAGGTATGGCCCCTTTAAGAGCTGCGCGCGCCCAACACCACATGTATACGGCGCCTGGTTATTTCTGTTTGATGCTCATTTTATCAGATCTGTTTTTTTGCCGTAAAGCAATTCGTTACCTCGCGAGACCTGATATCACACGATACTTCCTAACACTCAGGCCGGCGGCTCGCCGGCCCAAAGTTGCAAGGGTGGTTTTGCGGCTCACAGGCACCAGGGGGGTGCGAGACGACCACCATTGAACACGAAATCAGTAATATAAACATTACAATGACTCCAAAGCTGTTCGGTTAAGGTAAAAAAGTTACTTAGTTCACCTTTAACTCAAATGTATTATTTTACAGAACTTTTAATAAGCCAACTAGATTTTAGAAGCAACCAGCCACTAAAAATATGCAACTAGAGAGGGATTTGTTTTGCAAAGTGGATTATTGAAAACAAGAAAACTGATTTCCCAAATATAGACTATAGAAATGTACACATTGTAAAAAACACGTAATAACTTGGGAGATTTGTGTGAGATTAATATAATCTCTCGGCACACAGCTCTCTGTTGGATCTCTCTAGACTCACTAATCTAAATCATTAACATTCCTCGTCTTATTCAACATTAACCACACTCACACGTTTTCTAGAAACCTTTTTGACTGGCAGAATAAACTGTGCAACTGGAAAGTTACTGAGATAACTGAATGTAGTGACGATGTTTGTGCCTGCTAAAAATTCACAACAGAAAACAGGGTCTCAATTTACTAAATTCAAGCCAAATATAAACCTATTATGTCTTAGGGGCATGATGTATTATATAAATATTAATAATATTGATTGATTGCTGAGTTTCCTCAATATAAAGTTTATAATTTCATAGTCCAAGCTCAATCTCTGTTGACAAAACAGAAAATCAATAAACCACCCACTGACCTCTTGAATCAAACCACCACCGAACAGATGGACGCTGGGATGGAAAGAAAAAAAGGATGGAGATGATGATGACTCCAGTAACAGCGTCAGATACATAGCTGAAGGGAAATAAACACACAGACATTCAGGGAGAAGCAGTTATCATTCCGTGTTGCTTATTTCAAGCTTCAATTAGCAACATTGGAGCAAAGTGAAATTATTCAGTGTGACCTTCAGATACATAAGCTTTTCTGTTTTGAAATGTTCTACTGAGAATTAAGTCATGGACCACTGATGCTATAACTATTAGGGTGAATACTTACTGACTGCACCTTAAAGCTACACACTGTGTAGTGTTTAAGTATTTTATTAGCTAAAATCAATGTCTTTATTCATAAATATTTCCTCATTGGTGTAAAATTACCTCTGCCAATGATCTGACTTGTAAGCGAAGAATTTATTATCTTTAAAGCTGCAGTCCGGCGTTTTTCCTCTTTGTCGCCATCTCTGTTCGAAATCTGCAATTGCAGTCATTCGCGGAATTATCAACTTTACGTGAGTTGTACTTCAACACCCTCGACACGGCACAGCGTGGATGAATACAATGTTTGAGGAGAACGTGCGGCTGTTAGTCGCCGCGCCGATGTGGATACTGGCATTCAGAATCACAGATTATTCTTTTTGGATGTATGACCAACAGAAGAATTTTCACCGGAAAATGTCATCTGAACAAGTAAGAAACATCCACTTTTGTTCTGGTTCTGACATTGCAGTAAATCGCGCTGATTAAATCTAACAATCGCTTATAAGTTATCCCATCACGCAAAACCGTGCAAATTATACTTTGTTCTCAATTTGTTAATGTTAACAACGTAAGCATTGCGTGACTACATATGTATCCTTGTTCTCTTTCATAGGTTCACTCAACGCTGCGGAAAGCGCAGTGGGATATTCTCTGAATGTGCCGATTGTCTGAAGCCTTATAGAATCACGCCAATTCATTGGCTGATGGCGTCCGCGCGATATGGCTCCGCCCCGACGCTCTTACGTCGCATCATTTCATATTCGCGCGCGCGCCATCTGCTCCTCAGATTTCTCTACCTTCAGAACGAAGCGGTCATGTTGCCCTTCGCACATGATTTTTCTGAGCTACATCTAAGGATTAATCTCGGCGCTTCTGCGACTGTTCAAGCGGAACTCTGTTTCTCCTTACGGTGAAGTTGCCATGGATTACAGACGCTGTACTCCGCCATGTGCTCGTTACATTGCTAACGACGACCCACACAGTAAGTGCGTTAAGTGTTTGGGTTTTTCACATGCACGTGAGGCAGTTATAGGATCGTCTAAATGCAAATTCTGTGAAAATTTGTTGCTCAAAACCCTCAAATCGCGGCTCACGGTCTTTGAGAGGGAATCATTCGTCTCCCCCTGTCGCGCTCCCGAGGCCTCTCGAGGATCTGCGACATGGGGTTCGGATGTAGAGCTTGAGGATGTGGAGTTCGAGCAGACGAGCCCCGCTCTTTCTCTCCCTCCCTCCCCTCTGCACGCGCGAGGCATGCCAGTCGAATTTTCACACGATTATTTGCGCCCCAGCCCGGGAGCACGCGACGCGGTTTCTTTCGGGCTGGAGGATATACTTTTTACCGAGGCTTCCGACTCCGAGGATTTCGGGCCTACTCTCGCCGACGAGGTTATCCCGCCGAGCGGCCAGGAAGCGCGGCCTACTGCGGCCTACGCTGAGCTCGTTGACGTGCTTTCGCGCGCTACGGAGAAGCTCACTATTGATTGGCCCGACGAGCCACGTGAGTCTCAGTCGTCGAAACTTGACGAAAGGCTTCTCAGTGGCCCTAATTCTAGGCCTCAACGGAGGAAGCTGCCATTTTTCAGTGATCTGCATCATGAGATCTCCAGATCCTGGAAGCAGCCTTTCTCTTCGCGCCTCACTAATGCGGCTGCTGCTGATTTTAGCAAACCTGGTAGGCTCTGTGGAACAGGGCTATTCCGCCATTCCGGAGATTGAGGAAACTTTAGCCGACCATCTTGCTCCGTCGTCTGCGCCATCCTGGAAGTCGCGCCCCCTCCTCCCTTCTAAAGCATGTAGGACTACTTCCTCTCTCATTGGGAAATCCTACATGGCGGCTGGGCAGGCAGGCATGACCCTGCACACTATGGCCATTCTTCAGGCCTACCAGGCGGACGTCCTGAAGGAAAGTCCAAACGAAGTCTTGAGCATTTTACAGCGGGTGAATCTCCAGTTGTCACTGGTGATTGTCGTTTGAACCTTTCTGGATCCGCCATCAAATTGATAAGTTTAATTATATCAAGTGCTGTGAGAAAAGGCTATCTCCACCTCCAGCATCCTCACACCACGCAATATAGCCCACTAGCCAAGACTCCTTCTTTATGTGTACAGATGTGACGTAATGACACAAAGACATGCTCGAATCTCCAGCGGAAATCCAACAGTACAACTGGAATTAAAAACATTATTACAAGCTTACCGCTTTGAATCGAGCTAAGGCAAGCAGATAGTTTTGAACACTGGCTGGTTATGTATTTTCTCAAATATGTATTTTGGGTAATTTTTAACCCAAAAAAAGCTACGGACTGCAGCTTTAATTACATGGGACGGGTAAGTCCATGGAGGCTTTCATGTCATTCTGCCATCTTGAAAAACTATAATAGCAGAGAGGGACAAAACGCACTAGCCTACCTAAACGCGTTTCCACAACGCGTTTTCATTCAGAGCCAGCGTCACGTGAGTGAAACGGAGATCAGTGAGAGGCGCTTGTCACTTCCCCGGCCAATTTGAAAGTCTGCACTGCAGGATCATACTTATGCCGAGCCACCGGACAAGGAATCCTCGTCGCCAAAAAAGCAACAAAAAAAAAAAAAATACATTTAAAAGGAAACGTGACCGGCGAATTAAAAAAACGAGGGTAAATATCGGGATATATTTTCCCAGGTGGAAAGAGCTAATGAAGGAGAAAGACTTTGAAAGGGACGCTGAAGTTGCCTGCTTTCTTCTCGACAGGTAAGTCAATGTTATGGTCTAAATTACAAGCTTTTTTTCATTGCTTGGTTGTGTAATTCATTATATATAGTATAGGCAGCATACTAGTAGAAGATGTATAGTTAAACTCGATGAAGTGCTATTGGAAGACATGTTGTCATGGCTTCTTGATAACGGCTACCGTAGTAGCAACACGCATTTGAAAAAGCGAGGCGCTAGAGAGTTTGAAAGCAAAATACAATTTCACCTAGATGGGAGAAATTCCTACACTGTGTACCTGTGTACTGTTACCTGCTATACTAGCTTCATATTGGCTGCATCAAACAGGGATGATCATTGATCATCAAATGTTCATTGTGGATTATAAAAAGACAATTATATAATTACAGACAGCATGAATTCTTCCTTTAACAAATGAATAACCAACCTCCAAATAAATGTCTTATAGTTTTAAGTATTTTAAAATAGAAAAGAAAATATGATATGCTGTCAAATGTCGAAAACAATTTTACAGACAAGACATAATGCCAACAGCAATCTTGATTTCACATCTCAGCACATTAATATGAATCACTGAATCAATGTAATTGCCATAACCCAGCTAATTGCTCATGTTTAGAAACAGCGTGCACTGCTTTCAGTCATAATTCCTCTCATATACAGTAGGTGTTGAATAACGAGTGCACACATTATTATGTTCTCTCTGTTTCTATTTCTCTTTAAGTTGTGGGTTTATCTTAAGTCTTAACTATAGGGATGACTCAAGATGAACTTACATCCTGCAGATAGAGAAAGGTTAGCTCAGTGGAGGGAGCAGATCAACTGGTCCATATTTTTGAACCTCTCTGTCAAAGTGCATTAGTGTGATGGACCACGAAAGAAAAAAAAACAGTGTAGACTATAGTGTCTATAAACAAGTGTAAACCTGCTTAAACATTACAGAAAATGTATGTGTGTGTGTGGATGTGTGTGTGTGTATATATATATATATATATATATATACACACTCACCGGCCACTTTATTAGGTACCCCATGCTAGTAACGGGTTGGACCCCCTTTTGCCTTCAGAACTGCCTCAATTCTTCGTGGCATAGATTCAACAAGGTGCTGGAAGCATTCCTCAGGGAGTTTGGTCCATATTGACATGATGGCATCACACAGTTGCCGCAGATTTGTCGGCTGCACATCCATGATGCGAATCTCCCGTTCCACCACATCCCAAAGATGCTCTATTGGGTTGAGATCTGGTGACTGTGGAGGCCATTTTAGTACAGTGAACTCATTGTCATGTTCAAGAAACCAATTTGAAATGATTAGAGCTTTGTGACATGGTGGAAGTAGCCATCAGAGGATGGGTACATGGTGGCCATAAAGGGATGGACATGGTCAGAAACAATGCTCAGGTAGGCCGTGGCATTTAAACGATGCCCAATTGGCACTAAGGGGCCTAAAGTGTGCCAGGAAAACATCCCCCACACCATTACACCACCACCACCAGCCTGCACAGTGGTAACAAGGCATGATGGTTCCATGTTCTCATTCTGTTTACGCCAAATTCTGACTCTAACATCTGAATGTCTCAACAGAAATCGAGACTCATCAGACCAGGCAACATTTTTCCAGTCTTCAACTGTTCAATTTTGGTGAGCTCTTGCAAATTGTAGCCTCTTTTTCCTATTTGTAGTGGAGATGAGTGGTACCCGGTGGAGTCTTCTGCTGTTGTAGCCCATCCGCCTCAAGGTTGTGCGTGTTGTGGCTTCACAAATGCTTTGCTGCATACCTCGGTTGTAACGAGTGGTTATTTCAGTCACTGTTGCCCTTCTATCAGCACGAACTAGTCTGGCCATTCTCCTCTGACCTCTGGCATCAACAAGGCATTTCCGCCCACAGAACTGCCGCTCACTGGATGTTTTTTCTTTTTCGGACCATTCTCTGTAAACCCTAGAGATGGTTGTGCGTGAAAATCCCAGTAGATTAGCAGTTTCTGAAATACTCAGACCAGCCCTTCTGGCACCAACAATCATGCCACGTTCAAAGTCACTCAAATCACCTTTCTTCCCCATACTGATGCTCGGTTTGAACTGCAGGAGATTGTCTTGACCATGTCTACATGCCTAAATGCACTGAGTTGCCGCCATGTGATTGGCTGCTTAGAAATTAAGTGTTAACGAGCAGTTGGACAGGTGTACCTAATAAAGTGGCCGGTGAGTGTATATATGCAATTAGGAGTTACTGCTTTAATTTATCTTTTTTTTTTAAATACAAATAAATAAAATATATATAAAATAGTGCTGTTTATATTAGTCAATCATTGAAATAAGATTGACTAATATAAACAGCACAATTTATTTTCTATATTTTAGAATTAATTATTTTTCCAAATTAAGACAATTAAAGCAGTAACTCCTAATTGCATTAATTTTTCATCATGAACAATAAACCAAATCCTAATGGCACAGGTAGCACACATTAAATGCATTTGACCTTTACATAATGCAGGATGGAATAAATATGTTTAATATGTCTAAATGAAATGTATTAGATAATAAATTATGACAACCAGCATTCAAACATTGTCTCAATTTAGGTGACAGTAGACATATTTATAATGATTATTAGTTTGGCAAATTATGTTGTTTAAAGAATGACATGTTATTAAGCTGTTTGTATTAATGGTCTTAAAAACTGAAGGGGAAAATAGTCCCTCAGGAATTTTACATGTTTTAGTCATAGAATTTTTAAAAGGATATCTTTGAGGGTCAGCCTATTCAAAACCTATGAACAGACACCCTATAAAACCTGAAAAGCGTTATTCTAAAAACCCATTTGTATATGACTTTAACAAAATGCTTACATATGGTTCATGCTTTTACCTGATAGTTTCAGAATATTACAGTTTTGATATTGCATTCACCTTACATGCATCTCCATGTTAAAATGTGACACTCAAAATACGTAATGCAAAAGCAAATATACCTGCCCAGTGCAGAGTAATGACATCCAAATCATCATCCAATAATGAACTAATTGCTGTTGTTTCTGTATTTATAATTTTTTTCTCATATAGACTTTTGTTGAGAGAGTATAATAGTGAATTATTGGATTATGATTTGGATGTCATTTCTCTCACCTGTGCATGATTATCGTTTCTATTTATGCTGTTGTCCATCTTGTAAGAAATAATACCTTTACAAAGGCTACTTGTGCCAAAATGCAAATGTGCTTAAGAGAGTGTGCAGTTATATTTTTTGCATTAAGTTTTCCCTTTTAATTTGCACTTCTTAAGGTGTGCGTTTGCTTTGCTTTTCTTTTGACTCATAATGAGTCCATAATTTTTCAGTGCCTGCCTGTCACTGAGACGTGTCTTACCCTTTGGTGAAGAAAACCGACCATCCTGTTACAAACTTCGGATCTCGCGTGAACAGAAGGATGGCAAAAATAATGAAGAAGAAAGCGATAGATCCTTCTGCAAACCTAGGAGAGGGGAAGAATATATTTTAATTTAATTCATGTCAGAAAGCACAACAGAGGGAAGTACAAGTGTTTGGTGTGTTAAAATGCTCCACAACCTACTTTATTGGGCCCAGTTTCTTATAGTCCTCATCAATAACAGCTTGTGCTTTTGCTTCTGCGGCTGCCCGTTCATCATGTTTGCTAATGCAAAGTCTGTGTAGAAAAAAACAGGCAGTAGTAGATGTACATGAGTATGGCACGTCGGTTTTCAAACTAGGGGGCCCAAGAGAGTACTACGGGGTCTGTGGACAAGTTGTGGACAAACATGTTAAAATATATATTAAACTGAGTCATTTAACTAAAATAAAATAAATAGATACATCTAACAGTACAGTACTATAATTAATATTGGGAAAAAACATAATAATGTAATGTAATAGAAATAATAATATAGTATTTTACACAATAATAATAATATTTTACACATTCATAATATTAATTTTAATTTATAAATTGGGTCTTTATACATACAAATATATAGCTGCCTTGCAATTTTAGGATGGGGTCCCTTGCATGTGGATGATCATATTTTTGGGTTAAAAAGCCCTAATATACAGTACAGTGGTATACACGTGTGTCATTTTCTACGTTTAGACTGCGTATTTACCGTGTGTTGATCCCGCCATAGAGGAAAGCAATCCAGATCCAGCCCAGAAAAAGGAAGAGGAGCATGAGTGGGAAAGCGAAGACAAACCATGAGCCGAAGTTTATGAGGTCACATTCAGGGAAGTAGCTACAGACACAAACATGCAGGACACTGCAATTAGTTTGACTGTTTTTTGCTCCGCCCATGAAAATAGTTTTAACTATTTTCCCACAGACCCCTTAGTACTCCCTTGGGGCCCTCTGGGGGTCCCCGGAAGCCATAGCAGAATCGCTAGTATCCGAGAAACATGCAGGTGTTTCGTTCCTGAATTAATCACTTTCATTTTCGAATGACTCGTTTAAGTAAATGATTCAATGACTCACTCATAAAGGCGGCCACCTACTGGCATATCAAAGTAACCTGCAGAAAGAGTCGCTGAAAAAAACATCACTAATGTGCTATACTTAGCGTTTATAAGTAGGCCTTTATACACTTTATATATAAATTATATAAATCGTTTTTGCTTCACTTTTTGTCCTTATCACAACTTTAAGATAAGGCTGTCTAGAGAACATGAAAACAGGAGTTTTAATTAGCTAGATATTCAGTGTCATTTTTAAACTAAGGAGGAATAATTGAGTGTCAGCTGTTTTGTATCTATGTATTAAGTGCTGTCTTGATCGATCTTTTCTTACAGAGCCAGATTCATTTTAATTTTTTAATTCTAATTCATTCTAATAAATTTTTCATTTAAAGGCCAAAGCAGAAGTAAAAAATGGTGATCATATCAGCTGTAAAGCGTGATTTTGTGTAACCTTAGCTCTTCTTTTGTCTCTCCTTTTTGTCTAGTCATTATGAGACATGTTCTTAGCCGATTAAACATTAGTGATGAAATATGGTAAATGATTGGAGGCTGTAGCCAAATGAGTTACTGCATTACATTCACAAAACCTAATCTAATCACATGCAAGAAACTAAAACAAATATACACTGCATTAATCTCTCAGTAAGTAAGTTTCCATTTGAGATACTGTATACAGCTCACCTTAAGGCTTTTTAACAGAGAATCTATCGCTTAACATGATAAAGGTTGAACCACAACACTGCATTGTTTTTATTTCAACAAAACAGTACCTTTGATCTCTCACTTCATGACAGAGTTTATATGTAAGCCAAAGGACAGTCAGTTCAGTTTGAGGTCTTCATGCTTATCCAGCCAATCAGTTAAAGGAAGAAAAGTTAAATGTCTATTTCGTATAATCTGATTCTAGACTCACAATTTTGGTTTACAATCCATCATTTACATGCAAGTCATGAACAAGCTCAACAGCTGCAATAAACTACATCCACTAAACTAGCTCTCAGTCTTTCCCCACAGCAGGTGCTACACTTTCAGATCTTTATGCCCTGATGGCAGCACATTTAGACTCTTTAGCTACGTTTTATGAAGATACCACAAAATCTGGAAATCCCCCCTTAAACCTATTTGAATAAATAGAATAATTTTGAAAAAAAGTTATGACAATGACGAAGAACTGGAAGATTCTGTACTATTTCTTAGGTTACTTGGGTAAATCTGTGACATTGATCATGTGTACACCTTTGTAGAAAAGGGCAAACCAAAGCACACAAGATGTTCTTTGACCATTCTCAAATCATAGTAGGTAAGATGGATTCTTAGGTTTTTCACGAAATTTTATAGTACTGGTATTTTGCATCAAATGAGAACATTTCTAAATATAAGCACCTTCACTTGTGGTCTCTAAATTCTTGAACCCATCTATTTTTAAAAGTTCCTTTATGAACATTGCAGATTTGATCCTAGAATAATTTAATTTAATTTAATTTAATTTAATGAAAAGACCACAAATATGTTAATTAAAATGTTCTCAATTTGATCTAAAAGGCTAATAGTGTCACATCTCATGGTTAATTCAAATGTTCTCAATTTGATATAAAAGGCTAATAGTGTCACATCTCATGCAATGTCTTTGCTTGCTACTAAAGTACAATTACCCTGGAAACTCAAATCATTTGTCTTGCCTTGGAAAACTGAAGCTGGGATTTCGGCCATCTCAAACTCTGTGGTGATCCTGAGTGGAAACCAAACTATGTTCCATTCTGGCTTGTTGTTGGTGACCTAATTACTTGGATAAACAGCTTTTTCAAAGGTACGTGGAACCCAAAATTCTTGTTGTGTGTCACATAATAATCCTCATATGAAGGCAGACTACAAGAAACACTAGAGTAAAAGTAAGCCAAGAAAATAAACCGACAAATGAAGTCCATTTAGTGGCACTGAGAAATGTATTCATATTAGTGTTAATTAAAGCTAATGCACTCATTTGGATAGCGCTGATAAACTGTAAACTGAAGCCTGGCCTGAATAAAGAGTCTCATCTTTGACATTGTTTCATTAAGAGAGTTAATGGAGATGACTGCAGATAATAACTGAAGGGGGACACTATAGTGTCTTCCAGCACTGATATTGAAAAAATCATATATCCATTGCATTGTCAAAAGACTAATTTTCTGCCAATTAAGTATTTTAGTGCTGGACATATTCATTATGACATTTCCATAACTACACAAAATAACCACAACTCTTCCATGAGCACTTATAGTAGTTTTTCTTGTTATTCTTTTACTGTTCTTTCACTGTGCCACTGTGTCTAGCCTGCATGTGCTCTTCAAAGCAATTTGGAACTTTGTATTGCAGCACTTTTTTTCATGAGCACTTTTCACTTTTAAGTTGAATTGCTCATGTTGTATTTCTCGTCTGCAAGTCAACTTGAATATAAGCATCTGGTAAATGAATATATAAATGAATAAAAGAATGCAATGCAAAACTATTACTATGGTAATTTACCATGGCATCCCTGGAAAAATGGTATACCTCTTGAGCTGACCCACCAGGATCAGGTTGGGGGCTGTGCCAGTGAGGGTTGCAGTTCCTCCAATGCTTGCAGCATAAGGTATACAAATCAGAAATCCTTTCCACACTTTCACCTGGTATTCCGACTCTCTTCTGACCACTTCCAGATTCGTTTGCTCTGATCTGTCTGTCCAGTCAGGTCTGTGAGGTTACAGAGGAGACTGAATCTCTTAGTAATGACTCAGACTTTAATATTTAAGGTTATGAACGGATGATCTAACAAGTTTTCACATTCACGTGAGAACATTTATAAGCTTAAAAACTCCAGACTATCATTACACTAATTGTGTTGCTGCAATAACTGCAAGTCACATTATACTGATGATGTTGAACTTTTAATGGTAAATTTATTTCAGTCATTACAACTCTTGTAATAGTTTTAGCATGTTATTGAATATGGCAATGTTAATGTATTTGGCCATGGCAGACTAAATCGAAGCGTGCATAATACACAAATCTATATAGATCAGTGGCATCAAACTGCCAAAGTCATGTGATTTCAGTAGTTTGCTGTGATCTCTTTGTACCCATTAACTAGTGTCTATATGATTTTTACCTGATCTCAGATCAGTTTGATACATTTGTAGACATTTAATGACATGATAAATAAAATAAAAATGAAGAGTTGTAGTTAAGTCTCTTACTGGTCTGATTAACCAAGCTCTACATAAAACAAACAAAACAAGCCCTTCAATTTAATAAAATAAAATAAACATATTATAGAGACACATCATATTTAGTGGTATTAGATTATTTGTTAATTACACCTACAATAAAACATTTGGAGTTGGTTTGTAAAAGGTGCTTTTATGGATATCTGGGCTGGGTTTCATTGCATTTACACTGTTCTGACCAGCAAGGTTCACCCGTGTGTGGAGTTTTGAGCACGAATCATTGTGCGAAGCAATTGGTTGAATTAATTAAAAGTTTTGAAACACTTCGTTTCTCCCATCACTACTGCTAATAGACGCACAGACATGCAAAATATGCTGCTACTCCATAAATAGAAACACATAATTGCTGTAGCAGATCTAAACAGGTGGAGCTAGGGGAGGTGGAAGATTTCAGAGGAACTCTGGTAGCAAGCTTAAGGACTAGCCTACAGCAAACACTGAACCAGACTATTTAAATTGTTAAAAATGTAAATGATCAGCAGAGGCCAATCAGCTTGTGCCATGAAGTAATGATGTAATTGCTTGCAGATTGCATGTAAAGGACCTATCAGACTGCGCCCTCTAGAGTTTCATGACTGAACTAGATATCAAATCGTCAAGTTCTTGTGTTTGATTGTTCAAAGAAAGTCACAAATGAATTATTCTCACTTACCTGTCATCTGTGGTTAGTATCTGTTTTTCAAAAGGAAGCACATGCATCTTCACCTGAGAATCACCTGCAATGGAATGTTTTATTATTATAACTTAGAATAAAATAATAAAAAATATTTATTTTCTAAATAAAAGTAGGCTTCTGAGTATTTTTAAACATTAAAGAAATCTTGACTGACAAAAAAAAAAAGAAGCTTTGTTCAGTTCAAAGGTCTCCATTCAGGTTGTAGGGCCTATATCATGTTGTCATGTGTGCCTTCACAAATAATACAATAAATATTCTCAGACCAAATAAATCTAAATAGTATGCTGATGTCATGATTACATTCAATAAAAAAAATAATAAGGAGGACTTTCATTTCCTAATTAGCTTGCAACACACAGAATATGAATTTCTCCCCACTCTACCAACCCTCTGGGTCCCGCTTGACCTTGCAGTTCTCTTTTAGAGTCTCCAGATTTCCAAACAGACTTTCCAGTATGGCGTTAGCAATGGGCAGCATCATGGCTGTTGTGGCTGTATTACTCAACCACATTGACAGGAAAGAGGAAGTGATCATCATGCCTAAAATCAGCCTGGATAGGAAAGAAAGACAAGTAGAGTCACACCTAATATATGATTACGCAACCATTCCTACAATAATTAGTGCAATAAAATGTGACCACACAGTACACACTGTGTAGATAGTAAAACTGTGTCAAATGGTGAAGCTTAAAAGTAATTTTATTGCCTATAAAACTGACAGTAGAATTTATATTCTATCAAAACTACTTTTCTGTCTGCACATACTGTCCAATAAATAAAGATAAACAACTCCACAATCAATAAAGTATACAAAATATGTTATGTATCAGAACATTGTCAAAAGAATATCACGCTGTGGAATACTATAATTTATCCGCAGAAACACATTCAGTATTAAATTACATGTTTTACTTTTTTCTTTCAGTTTTTGTGTCTGAGAAAACTTATGTGGGATGAGAAAAGCTATAAAAATAAGCAGAAATACTTTTACTTTTGTTGCATTGTTTTCCTATTTATCAAATGTTGTACCGACTAATAGAATTGATTTCTGACACAGATATTTGAGTAAATGACCAGATTTTATATTTGAGTAAAAGATCAAATTTCCCTGTTTACCATCTACAATTGCTAAAACTTAAAGACAACCTATTATGCGCTATTTTGTTTTTAGGGTCAACTAGAATAGGTTTTAATGCTTGAATGTAAAAAAAAAAAAAAAAAAAACATTATTGTTCTCATATTACATTGTTTCAGAACCTCTTTCCCCAGTCTGTCTGTAACACCAGGAGCTGCGATTCTCAAAAGCATCATAAGCCTAAGGAGATCGCAGAATCATTGGCACCAATGGTCTCCACGATCAACCAACAGTAGCACACAATGCTTTTTAAAAAACGCACCCCTGTTTAGTTCCTTTTTCTAAGCCCCTCATTTTGAAAAGCGCATTGTGCTCTCATTGGTCGGCTGGATTAGTGTGTTGCGATTGGTCAACCACTTTGAATTTTAACACAATACTTGGGCAGGAATTATTTAAATGAGGAATATTGTGACGTGTACGTTCCTGGAAGAAAACTCAAGACTACAATCGAGGTGGTTCAGGGAGTTAAGAATCAGTACTTATATAAAAAATAACTTCCTTTGGAGTGGGCTTTGTAACTTATAGACCTTTTTCATGCTCGAACAGCAACATTATACACTAAATAAAGTTTAAAATGTAAAAAAAAAGCGTAATAGGTAATATTTAAGATAGAATCTTTCTCACCAGGCAGGTTTCACTCCTACAATCTTCAGCACCTTGAGGGCTATACGGCGATGGAGACCCCACTCCTCTATAGCAGATGCCATCACTAAACCACTCAGGAACAGGAAGTTAGTCTCCAGGAAGTACTGTGGACAGACCTTCCAAGAAGGCAGGATTCCCATGGTGGGGAAGAGGCACACAGGAAGCATGGCAGTCACCGCCAGCGGGAGCGCTTCGGTACACCAGTACACTGCCATCAGAAGCACCACATACAAACATTTGCCCTCCTGGACAAAGAAACAGATGGATGTGTAAATGTAGGGATGAGTTAATAAGGATTACTGTGACTGCATGGAAATTCATTTTCTGTAGGCAAGCAGATGTATGTGCAAATATTCCTCAGCAAATTTTTACTAGACACATTTTCAGAGCAGAGAGCAGCACTTCAATTTTAAAGTCCTTGTAAAGTCCTCAAATTATTTTCAACTTTTATCAAAGTCCAAAGACGTTTAGGCATTTTTGTATGCCTAGGTGTTCAAATAATTTTGGGGCAACCAAAAAAATATATACATTCTATAATTTAAACATGAATGACTTTCCTCTGTGAAGTCAAAATGAAAGAAATCAATTTGAGAAATATCTCACTGTTTTTTTTGCAATGAAATCTTGTCACTAGAGCAGTACCTTTAAAGGGTTAGTTCACCCAAAAATGAAAATTCTGTCATTAATTACTCACCCTCATGTCATTCCAAACCTGTAAGACCTTCTTTCATCTTTGGAACACAAATTTAGGTATTTTTGAAGAAATCCGAGAGCTTTCTGAACCCCCATAGACTGCAACATAATGGGCTCTATGCACGGCGGTATTTCCGGTGAAGGTCTAAGGATGCTGGATTACTTCCGCCGATCGTAGAGTCCAATGCTATACCGAGAATTTATATTGGTTTATACTCTATTGCTATATTAAAGAAACGTTAGTCACAAAAACAGACAAAACAGACACCCCTCGTTTTGTTTATGCTTCTTTGTTTATTATATTAAATAAACATAACTATATATAAAATTACAACTAAACGTATTAAAGTGTCGTTTCAAAGACGAGAGGACAGTAAATTTTGAAGACTCTGCCATAATCCCGTTTTCCTCGGTTTTCCTCCGCTTTAAATCTCCCCAACCGGAAACATAAGAGCATCCTTGCATCAAACGCGGAAGTTATGCGTGCATATGGCCCATTGCCACTTTCAAGGCCCAGAAAGGTAGCAAAGACATCGTTAAAATAGACCATGTGAGTACACTAGGGCTGTAACGATACACCAAACCCACGATTCGGTTCGTATCAAAAAATATACTTTTATTAAATAACATTTGAAAAACCTACAGGTAGCCTAAATCTTTTATAAATATTTGTGAGTCTTCATTTTCTTTTGTTTGCCTACTCCAGTTCTTGTTAAAACTCACTAGATATGTTTATTCTGTGCATTTTGGGCACTTTTTGTGTGAAATCATACTTATTTCGTCCATCAAAAGCGTGTTTTCACTTTAATTGAGCGTGAGCAGCGCAGCAAAAATAGACTCAGCGCCGAAACCCCCGCTTCACTGATGCTCACGCGACGCTCCTGCTTGACGCTCACGTGCTGCTCCTGCTCCCGGTGTGAATGCACTCATTGATTAACATCAAAGCCCGTCTACGGAAAGCCTGGCCACTCCCTATTAAGTCCTATTGAACCGAATTTTGGTTGTAGTTCCACCAGAGTTCCACTGGGGGCGATTGTCCGAGTGCAAAATGAATGGGAGTCTATGTGGCTAGACAGCTAAATTTGTCTCTTTCACCTGATTGCCATTGAGAAATCTCAGATTTAAATGTAGGTTTTGCAAGTTCAACATGGGTTATAGGTCGAAAGTTGAATGAACGAGTATGTCCTTTCGATTTCTTACAGGTTGAGTTGTTGTTGCCCATAACACGCTAGCATTCTGCTAATGGACACTGATTGGTTAGTGAAGGACTGATTACGACCAGAGACACCGCTTGATGGCATTGTGGCATCCAAAGCGGGACCAGAATGTTAAGGCGGACTTAACTCTTCTAGCACGTGTATTTACCTGTGTCAGCTGTGTTGTCGATGCCTCGAGAGAAAGGAAAGTGCAGAGCGCGAAAGCACCAAAGTGACTGAAGGATTGCCGTAAAGCAGTATCTCTGGTCGTACGATGTGTATGACGTCATTGACATTTTAAAAGACTTTTTAAAGCAAATAAGTGACTCTAAAAAATCTAACACCCAGTAATCTGTAATTTCTTTGCATCTCCTTTCGAAAACAACATTCAAATTACTAGACAAAAAATTATATCCTGAGAAAAGTGGATTTTGAGGGGTATATCTCCATAGACCTCCATTCATTCTGCACTCATCCTATGAGCACCCTCATATGGAACCAGAGTGGAACTGCAACCAGTTCAGAACCCGGAAGTTTACTGAGAGAGTGAAAGTTCTCCCCATATTAGACATTCTCTGTTAACATTCATGCTGGAAAAAAATAAGCCGGTGCGCTGACGCTTGCGGTGTAAAATGGCCGTTACAGGTAAAATTAAAAAATTTATCGTCAACTAGTTTTTGTGGTGTAGGTCTACGTATTTTATAATGTTAACTTCAAATAATACTAATAGTAATTTAAAGATGTGGTAGCATTGGATCTGGATGTGAAAGATAACTGGGAGTTGGAGGTGTGTCGCGATACACAGGTTCGTGGATCTGAGTGTCGCGATATCGGTTTCATAATCGCATATCGTTACAGTCCTAGACTACAGTGGTTCAACCTTAATTTTATGAAGCGACAAGAATACTTTTTTGTGCAAAAAAAAAAAAAACGACTTTATTCAACAATATCTTCTCTTCCGTGTCTCTGACGCTGTTCATGTGAGCACCACAATGCATGCATGTGATTTTGTCGCAGGAGCCGGCCAATACTGAGCTGGCGATCTGACGTAGAACCCGGAAAAGACTGGCATATAGGGCTGCAACAAACGATTATTTTGATAATCGATTAATCTAACGATTATTAGAACGATTAATCGACTAATCGTCGATTATTTCGCAGACTAATCAGTAAGTTTGGAACGATTATTCAGCTTTTCCAATTAGTTAAAACATTGAGTTATACATATTCTAACTATAATATAAAAAAAGAAAATCACTTCAGCTTTTGAAATAGTTGTTTTAATGAACTTTGAGCCAACTAAACAGGTCATTCTCTTTAAGTTTTCAGATTTCGGTCCAACTCAAATCACACACAAATGCTCTCTAAGCATTGTTTAATAGGCCCACTGCTTTTCTTAGAACTGAAACAGAAAAAGGGACATTTACTTCAGGACACAAAGAATGGTAAAATATTAATCTGCAAACAATTTTTATAATTATAAAATTTCAATCTTTTTTTACATGACAATTGAGCTGACAGAGACGTTCTCATTCCCTTTTAATTTATAGTATGATAAAGTGACTGCCGTGATATTCTTCCTATATCATAGGAAGGATATAACATCTCGTTTTGTAAGTCTTCATGATTATTGAACAAAATACAGGCAAGTGATAAGACTATAATAATACCTAATATACTAATAGTGTTACAATAATAAAAACAGCCCTGACTCCTAAGCTCGATCAAGCTTTATTCTATACAAAATAAGTCATCACATTACTGTAATTATATTACTATTGATAATATTATTACTATTATTAGTAGTATTATTGCATTCTCTAATAAAGAGAGATTTGCCGCTGGTGGTTAGTTAGCTCCAGCTGGAGAACACTCACTTCTCACCGGCTCCTCTTTTGCCGGGATGTTTCCTCTTGCACCCCAACATTGCACACGACAGCATTCTTGATTTGAAGTTTTGTGAAACTTTCCCAAACCTAAACCTTGCTAGTTCGGATTCGTTTGCACTGTCATAATTCGCGCTGTTTTCTCTTCTACCGCAATAGCATTTGTAAGGGCTGCACTACACTCTAGCGCTACAGCGCCGTAGCGGTCAAATCGCGGGATTGCAGGCCCTTACATTAGGTCACGTGAGATCAAACGACTACTCGACAACAAAGATATTTGTCGACAAATTTTAATTGTCGACGTTGTCGACAACGTCGACTAATCGTTGCAGCCCTACATGGAAGAGAAGAAATTGTTGAATAAAGTTGTTTTTGTTTTGTTTTTCGCACAAAAAGTATTCCCGTTGCTTCATAAAATCAAGGTTGAACCACTGTAGTCACATGGACTATTTAACAATGTCATATCTTTCTGGGTCTTGAAAGTGGTGATGACGTTGGTTGCAGTCATATTGCTACGCTAAGAAACTAATATGCACTTTTTAGGTGTAAAAAAAGTACAAAGATGTAATTTTAAGGGTAGGCCTACTGCCCCAGTGACAAGCTATTGTACCCCTAAATATACCATTTTTGAAAGTTTGGAACAACATAAGCTTGAGATTTTACATTTTGGGGTCAACTATCCCTTTAAGAAACAGATGCTCATGCTTTTTTTCGTCTACTGATAGAAAATAATATTTTCTGAAATAGGTCAATATCATATTGACACTATTTTAAACAACTGTGTGACAATTATTCTGCTGTAACGCATAATTAACAATCCTCTGTGTTCAAAGGGCCATAGCAGAAGGTGACTGATTTTAACAACTCTTTACCTTTGGTGGCACAACGAAGAGCAGCGGGAGCAGCAGTAGCGGGACGAGTATCAGAATGAGCTGTTTGCGCGCGCACCAGAGCTTCCTGGAAAACTTTGCAGAGTCCATTGCGGCATAAAACCGTTTTTCCTTTCCTTCTCTTTGCACTGGGACAGGCTGAGGTTCTGGCGCTTGGTCTCCAACTTTATTACTTTTGCTTTATTATTTTTTAGCACAGCGGGAGAAGATTAACTATTGGCTTACTCGTTAACTCCCTTAAAGACCCCTCGACTTTAGCCTTGAGTCGGTCTACAGAGCCAAGAAAGATGAGGAGCAAAGTGTTCTGCTTCACACAGACTACAAAGAGAGAGTAAGCATTAAATGTATACTACTCTGTGTGAACTGAAGAAGTGTTTGTAAAGCTTAGCAGTGTCAGTGTGTGACAGCTCAAGGGTTACGGTTATATCCCGCGTGCTGATAATTATTTTGACCTCACGTGTTTCTTGAGATGTTTGCTGTAGGCTAATGCAAAGTCATTATACTTTTGAATACCAGTATTATTAAGATATTTGTATATTGGTTTCCACATAGTTAGTTATAATAGTAGGCTGCATATAAATCAGATTATATAGGCTATTAGTTTTGGTAATACTCAAAATAATCCCTAATTGGTCTCTTATATTTGTGGTTTGCTTTGCTATTGCTTGACTGTAATGTATGGTACACTGTGCCTGTGTGCCATGAATTTAAAATATGCCAACGGCATTTCAGATGTTATGCGATGGCATTTTAGTCTGTGCCTGTATACTTAATTCAACTGATAAAACATACTTAACTAAACCAAAATGTTTTGGACCTTAAAATATACTGATAGCTATCATAAGGTGTTTTAGGACCATGTATGTGATGAATCAAAGTTCATCATAAGTGACCAATACATAAACTGTATGTGACTAATATTTCTATATAGACTGTAAACTATATATATATATATATATAAAAATCATGGTATAGCCTACACATGACACTAAATTGTTGCAGTAAAAGCATAAAATGCAACCTAAAACACCCTAATGTACATAACTATATATATACACTCACCGGCCACTTTATAAGGTACACCTGTCCAACTGCTCGTTAACACTTAATTTCTAAGCAGCCAATCACATGGCGGCAACTCAGTGCATTTAGGCATGTAGACATGGTCAAGACAATCTCCTGCAGTTCAAACCGAGCATCAGTATGGGGAAGAAAGTTGATTTGAGTGACTTTGAACGTGGCATGATTGTTGGTGCCAGAAGGGCTGGTCTGAGTATTTCAGAAACTGCTAATCTACTGGGATTTTCACGCACAACCATCTCTAGGGTTTACAGAGAATGGTCCGAAAAAGAAAAAACATCCAGTGAGCGGCAGTTCTGTGGGCGGAAATGCCTTGTTGATGCCAGAGGTCAGAGGAGAATGGCCAGACTGGTTCGAGCTGATAGAAGGGCAACAGTGACTGAAATAACCACTCGTTACAACCGAGGTATGCAGCAAAGCATTTGTGAAGCCACAACACGCACAACCTTGAGGCGGATGGGCTACAACAGCAGAAGACTCCACCGGGTACCACTCATCTCCACTACAAATAGGAAAAAGAGGCTACAATTTGCAAGAGCTCACCAAAATTGAACAGTTGAAGACTGGAAAAATGTTGCCTGGTCTGATGAGTCTCGATTTCTGTTGAGACATTCAGATGTTAGAGTCAGAATTTGGCGTAAACAGAATGAGAACATGGAACCATCATGCCTTGTTACCACTGTGCAGGCTGGTGGTGGTGGTGTAATGGTGTGGGGGATGTTTTCCTGGCACACTTTAGGCCCCTTAGTGCCAATTGGGCATCGTTTAAATGCCACGGCCTACCTGAGCATTGTTTCTGACCATGTCCATCCCTTTATGGCCACCATGTACCCATCCTCTGATGGCTACTTCCACCATGTCACAAAGCTCTAATCATTTCAAATTGGTTTCTTGAACATGACAATGAGTTCACTGTACTAAAATGGCCTCCACAGTCACCAGATCTCAACCCAAAAGAGCATCTTTGGGATGTGGTGGAACGGGAGATTCGCATCATGGATGTGCAGCCGACAAATCTGCGGCAACTGTGTGATGCCATCATGTCAATATGGACCAAACTCCCTGAGGAATGCTTCCAGCACCTTGTTGAATCTATGCCACGAAGAATTGAGGCAGTTCTGAAGGCAAAAGGGGGTCCAACCCGTTACTAGCATGGGGTACCTAATAAAGTGGCTGGTGAGTGTATATATATAATATATTATAGCAGTGTTAATTGTTAATGATTTACCTGTGCACATCATTATTACATTTTTTTACATAATCTTTCTTAAAAATAACTACCCCTCCTCTTTAAACAACATTCTCTTCTCTGATGATGTGTTTACTGGGACGAGGGTGGGACAACCTGTCATGAGATCACAACAATAGCAAACCGCACTGATCCAACAATTCCCGATGGACAAAAATCAAGCCCCGCCCTACATTTTTTTCTTGTTCAAGAAGCCGCTTTTACTTGGACACATTTCATGTCAGCCTTAAAGCAATAACAATTTATTATGAATGAAATGTGATAAAATACACAGGGACTTCTGGGAAATATTTTTCCATTTTTTTTATTTTTATTGTGGAGCACATTAAGGGCAGGTGGAGTTTAGTCATTTATTTTCCTTCCACAACCTCACATTTTGTTTTTATTTCATTTAGCTAAAAGATTTTTTGATTGCTTGAGTTTTTTTATGTTTGTGAGTTTTATTTTCATTAATGATAAAAGCCTTGATGCTCACCGTTTTGTTGACAAATATTTTTTTTTCAGTGAATGAAACTTTTTATTTTTTTAATTGAATACTCTTTCCCTGGAAACGCACTGAGCCACACACTATTCTGCTATACCGAGGATCTCACAAACAATTTTTATAATACACACTGTTTTTAAGGCTGCGTTCACTTATGGTTTTTCATGGTAAATGGTATAGGCAACCATGGAATCCTGCCACCAGCAGGCAGTAACACGAGGACAAATGCACTGTCTGACCCTTCAGTTTAGATTATTACTCATTGCGGCTGACTCAGATCCTGTTAGCAGCAGCTAGTATTGTGCCATAGTTCTGTACAATTCAGCTATTGTGCCATAGTTCTGTACAATTCAGCTATTGTCTAGGTTACTTAATGGGGCTGTAGCATGTGTTTCCAAACAAATAATTGATTATTGACTTTTGTCTGTATCTACATTGATTATTGACTATAAAAGTATTTATTAGCTAAAAAGGTTAATCCCTGGGAATATATCACTAACTGCTGTCCGGTGCATATTTTCTTGCATCTTTTGAAACATCTTTTGAGGCTCTGTGTGGAACTAAATCAAACAGGCAGGGCTCAATGATGTGCCCTTTCAATTATAGACGAGAAACCCACACAGCCTCAGCGGGACCAGGACTTAGCCTGGGCAACAGATTAAACCCTTATACTGTATAACATTTTAAATTTATATATATATGCATATACTGTATATATTTATCCGATACTGCATGTGTAAGAATGCCCACCTCAAACTCCATTGGTTGAAGCATATCGAGATGTTCAAACAGAGCATGTTTCAAAAGTGCCACGTTGTTTTCACTTTTTAGGGGAATTAATCTATAGATAGCTGACTTGCTGTTAACTGTGCATATTGAGCTGAAATCGGCTTTGAGGTTACACAAACCTTCCCCTCCCATATTCTTAAACCCAAATCTCTCAAGCTGGCCAATGAATGCAGAGTGAGTTCTCAAACACTGGGATGTGTGCTGAACCTCAAGGCTCTGTCTGTTTTTTTTTTTGTTTTTTGTTTTTTAACTGTATTGTATTTTCTCTTGGTATAACATTACTTAATGAATGATAAATGTTGTTTTGTGGGATTACAAGAAATGTTTACTTACCAGATAACAAAATCGTATTGCTTTAATCTAATTTTGCATCTTTTTTCAACATTGCCTATTGGCAGCAAGACAGCAGCAACAAGAATACAGTTAAACAATAGACAGTACAAAATATTACAAAACAGCACATATAAGGTAGATGTATGGGTACATTCATTAGTTATACAATACAATATTTATTTAAGGCACATTTAAAAACAACCCAGACTGACCAAAGTGCCGTACAGGACAGAATAAAAAATTAAGTAATAATAAAACAACCAATAAAGGGAAACACAACAATAGATAAACAATAATTACCTAAATTAAGCAGTGTTAAAGGCCAAAGAAAATATGTCTTTAAAGAAGATTTGAAGGAGGAAACAGATGGGGCCGGGGCTAATCTAATGTGGAGAGGTAGACTGTTTCAAAGTTTAGGGCCTGCAGTTGCAAAAGCGTGATCAGCTCGTTTTTTAAGTCTACTGTAGATCTAGGCACGATGAGTAGACCGTGATCGCCAGATCTCAGACTTCTAGAGGGAGTGTACGGGCGAAGTAGATCGGTCAGGTACTGAGGGGCCAATTTGTTGAATGCTTTATAAACAAATAATACAATTTTAAAATCAATTCTAAATTTGACAGGTAGCCAGTGCAGTGTGGATAAAATAGGGGTGATTGACTCATACTTGCGGGTCCCAGTGAGGAGTCTAGCAGCTGCGTTCTGCACTAGCTGTAGATGCAACTTGTGAGTGTGAAAAACCTACATGTGCTGACTTTAGACCTGAATGGACTGAATTAGACAGTAAATTGTCTGAGTGAGAAGGGAAAAGAAAACTAATTTCTTTGAACATAAATGTAGGAGCAAAGGTGTTCCAAGAAAGACCTCGATGAAGAGGATGTGACAAATTTTTGATGATGGACCCCAATTTTACCATCATTATCTTCTCTTTTTATGCTACAAAGACCCTTTTAGCCAGTACTATTTGTTTGATTAAGAATACAAATCCTTATACTCATTGAATCTGTCGCGGGGAAAAAAATCATAAAAGCAGTGCGAAGAAAAATAGACCAGAAGAGGAGGCGAACCATGGCTCAATATCATGTTCAGCTTGCTTTCCTTGAAAAACAATGACATTTTCTTTAAATGTCACTGACATGGCTCTCTTCATATATTTATATACTAACATCTATTTTGCTCTAAAGGGCACATATGAGAATGAATCTCCTACTCAAGAGATATGAAAATAGGTCATATTTAAGATCAGGTTATGCGTCCTCGAGCGTTAATATGATGGTATCTGGAACATTTATGTGGTCTTTTATTAACTAAAACCATAAATAAAACATTATTTGAAATATAAACATTAAAAAAGAGCACTAGACTCTATAACTGTTCATTTTACAGACCA